GCCATTCTGAGTGGCATGAGATGGTATCCCTGTGGTTTTGATTTGTATTTTTCTTTTTTTTTTGAGACGGAGTCTCGCTCTGTCACCCAGGCTGGAGTGCAGTGGCCAGATCTCAGCTCACTGCAAGCTCTGCCTCCCGGGTTCACGCCATTCTCCTGCCTCAGCCTCCTGAGTAGCTGGGACTACAGGCGCCCGCCACCTCGCCCGGCTAGTTTTTTGTATTTTTTAGTAGAGACGGGGTTTCACCGTGTTAGCCAGGATAGTCTCGATCTCCTGACCTCATGATCCACCCATCTCGGCCTCCCAAAGTGCTGGGATTACAGGCTTGAGCCACCGCGCCCGGCCAATTTGTATTTTTCTAATGATCAGTGATGTTGAGCTTTTTTTCATATGTTTTTTGGTCACATGTATGTTTTCTTTTGAGAAGTGTCTGTTTATGTCCTTTGCCCACTTTTGGAGGTTTGTTTTTTTTTTTTTTTTTTTTTTTTTGAGACAGAGTCTGGCTCTGTCGCCCAGGCTGGAGTGCGGTGGCACAATCTCGGCTCACTGCTACCTCCACCTCCCACGTTCAAGCGATTCCCCTGCCTCGGCCTCCTGAGTAGCTGGAATTACAGGCACTCACCACCATGCCTGGCTAATTTCTGTATTTTCAGTAGAGACAGGGTTTCACCATGTTGGTCAGGTTGGTCTCAAACTCCTGACCTCATGATCCGCCCTCCTCAGCCTCCCAAAGTGCTGGGATTGCAAGTGTGAGACCCCAAGCCCAGCCCCTTTGCCCATTTTTTAATGGGGTTGTTTTTTTCTTGTAAATTTGTTTAAGTTCCTGTCACAAGACTTTAAATTATAAAATAGGACCTGCAGTTCCCTGTAAAGGAAAATGTTCTATAAATTCTGTAATGATCTTCTGGATAGCCAGGTGTGGTGGCTCAGGCCTGTAATCCCAGCACTTTGGCAGGCCAAGACGGGCTGATCACCTGAGGTCAGGAGTTTGAGACCAGCCTGGTCAACATGGTGAAACCCCGTCTCTCCTAAAAATACAACAAAATTAGCTGGGTGTGGTGGTGCATGCCTATAATCCCAGTTACTCGGGAGACTGAGGCAGGAGAATCACTTGAACCCAGGAGGTGAATGGAGGTTGCGGTGAGCCGAGATCGCACCATTGCACTCCAGCCTGGGCAACAAAAGCAAAACTCTGTCTCAAAAAATAAAAAAGGGGTCTTGTGGATAGCATAATTGTATTGTAATTTTGTGTGAAAAAGCGTTAATCTGGCTGGGTGCAGTGGCACCCGCCTATAATCCCAGCACTTTGCAGGGCCTAGACAGGAGGATTTCTTGGGGCCAGGAGTTCAAGACCAGCCTGGGAAAGATGGTCTGAAAAAAAAAGAAAAAGTTAATTTATCAAACGTAAACGTGCCTGTTTTTCATTTCCAAGTGTATCTGAAACCTCCACAGACAGTAGGGACCTAGACTTTTCTCCATCTTTCAGAAGTCCTGTCTCCAAGGGAGCAGTTGCTGAGATCTGTGGGTCATTTCCCACCCTGCCCCTGGCCCCCTGCAGAGGCTGGGGTGGGAATAGCTGGCTCTTCAAACCCTGCCAAAAGCTCTGAACTCTGCCTCTTGCCAGTGGTCAGGCCTCCTCCACCTGACCCTTCACCCGAGGTGATGGGATGCCTAACCATAGGGCCAGCTAGGGGGGGCTTCTCTCTGCCTCTGCAGGAACTCAACCAAATAGCATTTACAGAGCAACCTGTGTGTGGCCAGCTGGCTTTCAGCCCTGGGGGTGGGAGGTGCAGGGGTGGAGTTGGGAACCTGATCCTGATCCCGGCACTACCCCCTGAGGAACCTCCAGTCTGCTGGGAGAAAAGCAAAGAAAGGTACCTAAAGCAGAGCTATTAAGCGCCCCAACTGCGCCTATGTGAGAGTCCCACCATTGTTTGCTTGGGAGGCAGATCCTAGTAAGCCTAAGTCAAGGAGGAGTGCGCACAGGGCAGGCCAGCCCGGAGGTCCCCGAGGGCAGGGCCTCCAGGCTTCCCATTCTTTCGAGGTTCCCACAGCGCTCAGGCCCCACTGGGCTCACAATAAGCTTCAATGACCGCTTTTGACTGAACCTTTCGCCTTTGTATCTGTCTCTGTGTCTCTCAGCATCTCTGTCTCTACGGGTCTCTGGCTCTCTCTTGTTTCCCAACATCCTTCCCGAGCCCCTGGGGAGCAGAGCTGGGGGAGCCCGGCAGTGGGAACGGGACAGCGTCCTGTTCTCACCAAGGACAATAAGGGCCGGAAAGGGCTGGAGCCAAGGCCTGGCGCAGACTCCCCCTCCCTGCCTGCCCTGGGCGCCCCCCCCCCCCGCCCCCCCGCGCCCTGACCCGCCTAAGTGCCAGTCCTCAGGGACTCAGCCTCCTTGCCCTTGGTCTCACATTCCCACTGCCCTCCCTTTTCTCTGGAGGCATCACTTCTGCCCCCAGGAACCCACAGAGCCAGCGCCCTCCCACTGTCCTCCACACTCCCCGCAGCCCCATCCCCTGCATTATTTACTCCTATTTCCGGAGCTGGCTGTGGGCGCCAGAGGGTGTCAGGGCCACGTGTGAGGGAGCAGGAGGAAACATCTGGCTTCCCTCTGTCCCCCAGGGGCGGGGACGCCTCTCTCTCCCTCAGGCCTACCGCCTCCTCTGGGGTGGAACTGAGCCCCAGGAGTCCAGGGGCCAAGAGGTTAGCACCTTTGCCTTTCTCACCCTCAGGGCTCTGGCAGCCATGGAGTCCTCACACCCCCTTACTTAATTATGGTGATTAGGTGGCTGTGATACCCCTGCTAGGGTTAATTGGCAGGTCAGGTGCAGCCAGCCTGCAACCAGGCAGGGTGCAGAGCTGCGATGTTGGCGCCAACCTGCCTTGTAAATGTACTCATTCCTTGAGGAAGGCGTCATTATTCCTGGGCCACATGCTGCCCCTGGTGCCTATGCAGTGGGTGGCAGCAGGTGCTCAGATCCCTTGGCACTGCCCTGGCACCTGCTCTCCGACTCTTCCCCACTCTCTTCTAGCCATAGAGATGATACTCCCTGCTGGTCCCCACCCAAGCCAGCTCTCGTTGTGGAAGGCATGGTGCCCTCTGCTGGCCGGATCCCTAGACTCCCCACCCACCCCGCGCCACCCTCTTCCCCACTCCCCTCCCTAGGCTGTGTCTGTGCTCACCTGCTCTGGGACCCGACCCTCTGCCCAGTGCTCCCACTTTGGGTTAGGGCAAAGTCGAGGTTTGACAGTGAGACTTAGAACCAATTCAGCCTCCCCTTAAGCCCAGAGACCAACTTGGACAACCTCGTCCTCTCCCACAGGGTCTCATATATCACAACCCACTGCCCTCCCCAACCATCAATACGGTGAGTCAAAGTTTAGAGTGGCCATCCTCTCAGGGAGGCTCTCTCTGGTCTCCACTGAACTTTCCGCCTCCAATCCCAGCCTAGGGGGAGAAGAGGCTTAATTCGGGATTCAGTCCTTCCAAATGGACCAGTCTTTTGAGTCTTCCAAGAAGGCTGGCTTCCACACTGACAGACCCAGCAGCAACTAATGCCACTCCCGGCCCTCAGGGTTAGCTTGTCTGGGAGGGTGCCGCTAACCTCCAGGAGGGAGACGTGAATCCATAGCGCCCCCTGCAGGCGTCTTGGATAAACTGCCTAGCACTTCCTCCTTGGCCAGGTTACAGAAGGGCAAGTATCTAGGGTTCTGGCCAAAGATGGGAGTGGGGTGGCCTCTAATCCTTGACCAAAACTCATCTACTCACTTCTTCACCTTCACTGGGTCTTATTCCCTAACTCAGGCACCTATGGACAGGATTTTTTTTTGTCAGGACAGGTTATTTCATTCAACCAACCCACCTTTTTTTTTTTTGAGACAGAGTCTCACATTCAGGCTGCAGTGCAGTGGCACAATCTCCTCCCACTGCAACCTCTACCTCCTGGGTTCAAGCGCTGATGGTGCCTCAGCCTCCCAAGTAGCTGGGACTACAGGCACACACCACCACACCGGGCTAATTTTTGTATTTTTCGTAGAGATGGGGTTCCCCATGTTGGCCAGGTTAGTCTCAAACTCCTGACCTCAAGTGATCCACCCACCTCGGCCTCCCAAAGTGCTGGGATTTCTGGCTTGAGCCACCGCGGCTGGCCCAACCCACCGTCTTTATTGTCCATTATCAGGCTCTGGAAAAGACAAAACTGACCAAGACAAGGTGTGTACCTTAAAACCCACACCATTCAGCACAAGGGAGGGCACCTAGGACAGGCACTCTGCACAGAGTTCTTCCTCATGACAGAGCACAGACAGGGCAAGGTGCAAGTAGCCACCTGCATTTGTATCCAGGTTGGCTCGGAAGTTGATGTCCTTGCTCCTATTGTTTTATATACTTCGCTACAACTTAGGAAGTTCCCAGTGTCTTGGCTACAAGACGGAGAAAAAAATGAAGGCACCCGAACAAACAGGAAAGGAGCAGCTGACCACCTGGGGAGTCTTTCTAAACACAGGCATATGCTCTTTCTGGAGTAGAACAGATAGGTCCCAGGGACAGCATCAGGAGAGAAGTCCCATCTATGCACTTGCAGCAGGGGGCTCATTTGCTCAAGGCAGGGAGCTGGAGTGGCAAAGATACCACGTGGAATTCCATGAAACAGTATAGGTGTACAGGACCTTTCCTTCCTTTACTCTTTTGCTCCAAGATCCCTTCTGGTACTGACGGGCCGGCCTTCCTGCATTGCAGCCTTTATCCCTTTCCCCAAAGATCACGACTGCAGAACATTCATGCACTTTTCTTCCATGATGAGACTCACACAAGTGTATGCCATTCCAGCAGCACTGACGGTATTCAACAGATAACTGGTAAAAATGAATGTGGGAGTAAGGAAAGCCTCACCATTCCCAAGGTCTGAAAACAGAAGGTGCCCAAATGTCTCAACATTCTGTACACCTAAGCTGGGCACTGGTAGATGAGGTCCACAACATATCACAACTCACAGAGCTACAAAGAATCTACTTTATTGAACATTCAGGGTCAATTTCTCTTCTTGCTCTTGCCTGTGACCTTGGCTGGTGTGAGGACTGGAGCTGCTGCCTGGTACAGGGTGGAGGAGATCTTGTTGATGTAGTACAGACCAACCATGGAGAAGATGAAGCTATATGGTGAAGACAGAAAGGTCATGGCACCAGTGGGCATGCTGCCAGCCCGGTGCCTCCTAGGGAAGATACTAGCATTAGGAAAAGAATCCAAGTTCAAGTTTAGGAAAATAGGGAAGGACAAAAGAAGGAGAACAGAGGGAGAGGTAGCTGTGGAAGGAAAAAGTCTGGCACCATCAGAGTAGGATCCAGTGCCGAAGAACAGAATGCTACACCCCTTACCCAGCTGTCAGGAACATACCAGGTGGTGACACAGACTCGGTGGATGAGACCAGATGCAAAGAGAGCCAACAGGAGGCACAGGAGAACTAGGGAGGCAAGAAGAAACAAGGAGGGCAATGGTCAGAATGGAAATATTAGGCATCCGCACATGGAGTCGAGGAGAAATCCGGGGCTCTCTGAATCCTGGGGAACCTGCTTAGAAGGGTATGCATGACAACAGCAGGAGGATTCAGATGACCTTAATGATACCCAGAACATGGAGGTAGGAGGTTGAGTGCGGTGGCTCATACCTAGAATCCTAACATTTTGGGAGGCTGAGGTGGGCAGATCACTTGAGCCAGGAGTTTGAGACCAGCCTGAACAACAAAGTGAGACCCATCTCTTAAAAAAAAAAAAAAAATTGAATTAAAAAAAAATTAGCCAGGCATGGTAGTACACTGGTACACATGCCTGTAGTCCCAGCTACTCAGGAGGCTGAGGTGGGAGGAACCCTTGAGCCAGGAAGTTCAAAGCTGCAGTGAGCTATGATTGCACCACTGCACTCCAGTCTGAGCAACAGAGTGAGACCCTGTATCAAAGAAAAAAAAAAAAAACATGGATGTAGATGTATGCTTTTTTTTTTAATCAGCTCTGCCCCAAATCTCATGTAACTTCCCTATCCTGGCTTTCCTCCCATAAAAGGGAAAAGGAAAGGTGATGGACAACAGAGTCTGAAGGGCAAGATGTGTTCCCATTTGGGGAACCCAGTTAAGCCCTTTCCAACAGAAGCCAGACAATGAGAGTCAATTCATTAAGCTGGGTGACCAGTGGTGGAAGTTGAGGGCCTTGCTCCCTCGACACAGGTTGGAGGGCAGAGTGCTTGGATTCACTTGTTCATGGGGACAGGAAATGATTTTAGGTTACCTGGAATATGATGGGAGAGAAGATGAGAGGACAAAAGCAAGGACACACAGGGCCGCACCTGCCCAAGTGGAGAGGGCAGAGAAGGCGAAGTGGGCCAAGAGCTTTGCCCCACCACAATGGTATCTTTTTTCTTTTTTTTTTTTTTTAATTTTTGAGGCAGAATCTCACTCTCTCGCCCAGGTTGGAGTGCAGTGGTGCAGTTTCAGCTCACTGCAGCCTTGACCTCCTGGGCTCAAGCGATCCTCCCAACTCAGCTTCCCAAATACCTGGGACTATAGGTGCGCACCACCATGCCTGGCTAATTTTTGTATTTTTTGTAGAGACAGGGTCTCTCTCTGTTGCCCAGGCTGGTCTTGAGTTCCTGGGCCCAAGCGCTTCTGCCAGCCTCCACCTCCCAAGTGCTAGGATCACAGGCATGTGTCATCCCACCCAGCCAACGGTTTCTTTCAGAAGCAACTGAAAAGCCGGGCACAGTGGCTCACACCTGTAATCCCAGCACTTTGGGAGGCCGAGGTGGGTGGATCACCTGAGGTCAGGAGTTCAAGACCAGTCTGACCAACATAGTGAAACCCTGTCTCTATCAAAAATACAAAAATTAGCCAGGTATGGTGGCACATGCCTGTAATCCCAGCTACTCGGCAGGCTGAGGTGGGAGAATCGCTTGAACCCAGGAGGCAAAGGCTGCAGTGAGCTGAGTTCACACCACTGTACGCTAGCATAGGTGACAGAGCGAGACTCCATCTCAAAAAAAAAAAAAAAAAAAAGCAAATGAAGATAATACATATGGATATAAACAAAATCTAACAGAGAGAAGTCCCAGGGCTACTGGATGGAAGGAACTCTGAAGCCTGAGAAAGGGCTATGCGGAGAAAGCAAGTCCTAGAGTGGGGCAAAGAAATGAGGGCAGCCAGGCCCAGTGGCTCACACCTGTAATTCCAGCACTGTGGGAGGCTGAAACAGGAGGATCACTTGAGCCCAGGAGTTTGAGACCAGTCTGGGCAATATGGTGAAACCCATCTCTACAAAAACTTAAAACAGTAGCTGGGTATGGTGGCACTCACTGGTAGTCCCAGCTACTGGTAAGAGGTAAGACTGAGGAGGGAAGATTGCTTGAGTCCAGGTCAAGTGAGTCATGAGTCATGATCACATCACTGCACTCCAGCCTGGGTGACAGAGTAAAACCTTGTCTCAAAAAAAAGAAAAGATTAAGGGCAACTGTGATAGATCTTTGTTTTGCCAGATGAAGGTTTTACATGAGATTGCATCTGCTGTGAATTTATGAGCACGTGGCATTCCTTAAGTAATCTGGTCTTGATGCTTAATTTGCTTTATAAACTTAATTCTCCATAAATAACTGAATCAATTCTTTTTTTTTTTTTTTTTTTGAGACGGAGTCTTGCTCTGTCGCCCAGGCTGGAGTGTAGTGGCGGGATCTCGGCTCACTGCAAGCTCCGCCTCCCGGGTTCACACCGTTCTCCTGCCTCAGCCTCCCAAGTAGCTGGGACTACAGGCGCCTGCCACCTCGCCCGGCTAGTTTTTTTGTATTTTTTTAGTAGAGACGGGGTTTCACCGTGTTAGCCAGGATGGTCTCGATCTCCTGACCTCGTGATCCGCCCGTCTTGGCCTCCCAAAGTGCTGGGATTACAGGCTTGAGCCACCGAGCCTGGCCAAATAACTGAATCAATTCTTGATTACATGAGCAATTGAACAAGAATTATTCCAAACAGGAAATAATCTAACAGTTATTCTGATTTGGTCAGGATTCCTGCTGCCATGGAAATTTGGTGCCTCTAGCATTTAGGCTCTTCACAATCTCCTCGAATAAGTAGAATTCTCTAATACTGAGTCAATTTCACATCAGAACTCCACAGTGAATTTGGTCCTGCTGCTTCTTCTGGTGGGACCAAGGACCACCTCCTAGCGAATAGATGCAAAACATCAGCCGAAATTTGCCTGTTCCCCTCAAACCTTCCCTGGAAGCTGGCCAGAAGGTACCAAAGTTTGCTTTCAAAGGCTTTCTCTTCCAGCTCCAACTCCAGGAGCTATACAAGATGCAGAATCGAAAAGCGTCATCTGTTTTCAGACAGCTTTAGTAAATATATTTCTCCTTAACAACCTTTAATACCTAAGCATCTGGAAATTCAGTATCATGTTTCACGAGGTTAAAGAGGAGAAAGTGGCCGGGCGCGGTGGCTCAAGCCTGTAATCCCAGCACTTTGGGAGGCCGAGACGGGCGGATCACGAGGTCAGGAGATCGAGACCATCCTGGCTAACACGGTGAAACCCCGTCTCTACTAAAAAATACAAAAAAAAAAAAAACTAGCCGGGCGAAGTGGCGGGTGCCTGTAGTCCCAGCTACTCGGGAGGCTGAGGCAGGAGAATGGCGTGAACCCGAGAGGAGGAGCTTGCAGTGAGCTGAGATCCGGCCACTGCACTCCAGCCTGGGTGACAGAGCAAGACTCCGTCTCAAAAAAAAAAAAAAAAAAAAAAAAAAAAAAAAAAAAAAAAGAGGAGAAATTTCAAACACTCAAGCTCCAATATTCACTTACTCTCAGGGAAGATCTTTGCTTGGAATCCTTTGCCAAAGACAAGATTCTCCAGATTATTGAAGGCCTGGTTGAGGGAGTTAAGGAGTAGGGCGTGCAACTGGGACAGAGCTGTGTGGGTAAGGGGAAGGGCACATGCCTACGTGGCCCGCCCCCTCCAGCCGCAGGGAGGATACAGTGAGCGAGAACACGAAGAGACCTGAGCCAAGCAGGCCGCCCTGGATGGTGAGCCACTCGGTGGAGGCCAGCTGACGGCTGTACATCTGCATCCCAGCGAAGAGCAGCAGGGACAGGAGGGAGGAGAGCGCCAGCGAGGTGCCTGTACCTACCACTAGAGGGGATGGGAGAAGGGACGGAGAGTCAGGCTCCGCCCTCCCTCCGGCAAGCTACGGGCAGATCGGCCGGTCCAGAAGCTCGGTGGGCCGACCCCTCCAAGAACTCCCGGGACTGCAGCCACATGCCCCAACTCCCCACACCGCGCGGCAACCCCTAGGTATTCCCCAGCCCCGGACACCCCGAACCCTCCCGTCCAGTGGAAATGCCCGCTCCCGGTAGAACCCAGGACACGTCAGCTCTGCCAGGAGAGGACAAGGAAAGCTTTTCCACCCAAACCCCGACCCCCTCTAGCACTTCCTGGGGACCCCACCAGTCCCGTTACCCATCATGCCCCTCCCGTGAGTCCAACCGGCGCCTCTGGCCAAGAAAGGGAAGCTGAGGCGGGTGCGGTTAGCTATGCGCATGCGTTAGCGCTTAACGCGGACTTGCTGCTCCCCGCGTTCTCCTCTTTCGTCCTCTCAGTGCCTGGACGCAGCGCCCTCTTGCGACAGGGAGGAAATAATGCGTCGAGGGGGCATCCTCGGCCACCGCCCTGGTCCCCAGGCTTTCCTCATACCTGGTGCGTCTGCTGCCACTCTGTACAAGCTGCACTTATCTCTTTAAGTCATTGGGCCCGTGCCTGTGGCATCTATCCCATCTCTGTCTTCTTTGCCATTTCTGTCATCTCTAGTGCACGTTCCTCAAACCTCCCTGCCCCATGACTATTGCCTCAACATCTCTCAACCCAAAATTTAGTGCTCCCAATCAGGAACCCATTTTCCTCCGAAACTAATCCCCCGCTTTATATGAGTAAAATTAGGAGCCAATGAAAAACGAGAATATAAGAAATGGCTCCCCCCTCAAATACCTTTCCATATTCCCCAACCCCCCGACCGGCTTTCTAGAACCACGTGGGGAGAACTATTTCCCACCCCCTACCCCGACGGGCGCTGTTCGAGGCTGGTCCCTGGAGCATGCGCAGTGACACCTCACCCCCCAGCCCTCCTCACACCCCCACTGGGCTCCTGCATTAAGCCCAGGGTTCGCAGCCGCAGCCGGGATCGGGCACCCAGGGGCGGGCGGGCACGGTAGGGCCATGGCAGAGGGTGAGGATATGCAGACCTTCACTTCCATCATGGACGCACTGGTCCGCATCAGTGTGAGTTAAGGTGGGGTCGAGGGAAGGGGAGGGGGCGTATAGGGTTCTGTGGCAAGCTGGGACCTGGAACAGGTGGGGATCCAGGAAGATGCTGGGATGTAGACAGGGGACTAGCGATGGCAGAAACGGCTGGGAGGGTCGGGATGCAGGTATGAGAGGGTAATCCCGGGAGCAGCCCGGAGGTGAGTGCCTTGAAGGCGTCGGTGTGCTGGGGCGTGAGGAGGAGCTAGGAGCAGCCCAGACGCAGCGGGTGGGCTGGGGTGGCCTCCAGCAGTGCACCGGGGCTGGGGCTTCAGGGGAAAGGCGCTGTTATGAGGAGGGGAAGTGTGAGCTTGGATATTTTCCAAGAAAACTGAGGACAGGTGGGGGATGATGTAGGAGCCGCCCCACAGTGCAGTTCCCAATTTGGACCCCTCCCCAAGACCCCACCCCACGCACCCCCACTCAGGGCTGCTTCCGAGCCTGCGGTTGTCATGGCAACCCTTGCCCGGCTCTCCCAGGGGCGGTGCCAACCGTGTTCCCCCCCACCACTTCCTCCCCCCCTCCTTGTCCCTCCCTCCTTTGTGTCAGCTGCGCCCCTGACCGGGATGGCTGCGAAGAGAGGGACCAAGGTGAGGTGTGGGGGTGGGGCATAGCCTGAGGACCCCCACTCTCGCCACCAAGAGGGGGAGGGGACTTCCGGTGGGGAGGGGGCGAGTAGGCGGGGCTCTTGATTCTCCCACTAGCTCGGAGAAGGGGGTGCCGCTGACCGGGTTGCGCTGCAGGAGAGGGCGGGAGGGCCTGATGGGGGCGAAGGGGAATGGGTTGGTAAGAGGGATTGGAGGAGAACGATGGGGAAGTGAAGGATGGGGAATGGAGGCTGGAGTGGCCGCAGGCCGGAGCCGCGGCAGGAGGACGTATGGAGCGAGCAGGATGGAGTGCCAGCTTCGCCTGACTATCGGGAATCACGGCATGGGGGTGCTGCTAGAGAAGGGAGTGGGGGTCTGCATGGAGCTGCAGAATGGGCGGTGTCCTTGAGAAAAATGCCAGGGGCAAGCTGCCCACAGATGGGGGATGGAGGCAGGTGAGGGGGTGCCAGCTGGGGCTGCCGCAGCTGGAGAAATGGTGATTGGGCTTGAGGCTGGAGCAGGCACAAGCTTCAACACGGCCTTTAGCTCTGCCGCGGGGAAAGAAGCAAGGGACAGAGGTCTGGGAAGGTCTGTGAACCAGCCCAAGGCAGGTGCTGGGGAAAAGCTACAGATAGCTTGTCTTGCTCCTTCCTCAGACCCCTAGGGTATCCAAGGGCAGCCACGGGGCTGCTGAGGTATGCCTAGGTGTCCAAGCGCTGACCTAGCCTCCTGGTCCCTCCACAGACCAGCATGAAGAACATGGAGAAGGAACTGCTGTGCCCAGTGTGTCAAGAGATGTACAAGCAGCCACTGGTGCTGCCCTGTACCCACAACGTGTGCCAGGCCTGTGCCCGGGAGGTCTTGGGCCAGCAGGGCTACATAGGACATGGTGGGGACCCCAGCTCTGAGCCCACCTCTCCTGCCTCCACCCCTTCCACCCGCAGCCCCCGCCTCTCCCGCAGAACTCTCCCCAAGCCAGACCGCCTGGACCGGCTGCTTAAGTCAGGTGGGACTGGGGCCTGTAGGGTGGGGATGGGAACGCTGAGCTATTCATCAGGAAGATGGAAGAAGTCCATCACTGGTCAGGGGCATCTGTCTGTCTTTCTAGGGGGTGGAGTTACTGCTTACGCAGGCTCTAATGAGAGCTGAGCTCTGGCACAATGAAAACCTAATTTAATTGAACAGGCTTCCCCACATCCAGCCAGCTATAACTCTCACGTCCTCTACCTCCCTGGTTCACCCACAGGCTTTGGGACATACCCTGGGAGGAAGCGAGGTGCTTTGCACCCCCAGGTGATCATGTTCCCGTGTCCAGCATGCCAAGGTGATGTGGAGCTTGGGGAGCGGGGTCTGGCAGGGCTTTTCCGGAACCTGACCCTGGAACGTGTGGTGGAGCGGTACCGCCAGAGTGTGAGTGTGGGAGGCGCCATCCTGTGTCAGTTGTGCAAGCCCCCACCACTAGAGGCCACCAAGGGCTGCACAGAGTGCCGCGCCACCTTCTGCAATGAGTGCTTCAAGCTCTTCCACCCCTGGGGCACCCAGAAGGCCCAGCATGAGCCCACCCTGCCCACCCTCTCCTTCCGCCCCAAGGTGAGCCAGCCCTTCCAAGCCCTGGGGAGGGAGGGACATGCTGCTGCAGGTGGGTGGGGGTGCCTGGCATTGTGGGTTTCCAAAAGGAAGTGGGAAGGGTTTTTCAATGCTAAGCACCTACCTCTGTTATCTGTAACAAAGTCACTGGACAAATCATTCAACAACTTCGGGCCTCCATCTCATTTACTACAGGGGGATTGTAGTATCTGCCCTGCAATGTCCATACCTAAAGGGTTGCTGAGAGGAGGGTGTGAGATAATGTTTGTTCACTATCTGCACACTGAAAAGGTCTGTGTGTATTCACTTACTGAACAAATATTTAATGAGCACCTATGTGCACGGTGCTATTCTAGGTGTTGGAGATACAGCAGTAAACAAGATGGACAAGGTTAATTATTAACTATCAGGCTAAGATTAATTGGCATCATTATTACTGTTATTACCACATATCCCAATGAGAGAGATGAAAGGAGGTGCAATGCTGGTGAAATGGGCACCGCCCGGAAACTGCAGGAAAGGCTCTCTTTGATGCCAGTATGTACCACCAGGTGGCACTGTGGAGCACCACCAGCGGATGTCTCCACTCCCATCTTGCCAGTGGAGGGAGGGCACCAAACTGCTGTAGTGGTAGCATAGTACCCTTACCCACACCATTGTCTGACCATCACATTGTTCTTTGTGTCCCTAGGGTCTTATGTGCCCAGACCACAAGGAAGAGGTGACCCACTACTGCAAGACATGCCAACGACTGGTATGTCAACTCTGCCGGGTGCGGCGCACCCACAGCGGGCACAAGATCACACCAGTGCTCAGTGCCTACCAGGCCCTCAAGGTAAGGACCCCCCTTATCCAACCCTAGTGCTAACTCACACTCTTACCCTCTTGCACCTCCTCCCAACTGCTGGCTTCTGCAGAGCTGGGCATGATGCCCACCTCTTTCTTCCCCCTCAGGACAAGCTGACAAAGAGCCTGACATACATCCTGGGAAACCAGGACACGGTACAGACCCAGATCTGTGAGCTGGAGGAGGCCGTGAGGCACACCGAGGTGAGGGAGGGCACGGAGGTGGGCCCTGGGCCCTGCCTGGGAGTAGGGGCAGGAAGGGGGTGTGGGTGGTCATGACCCAATCACCTCGTTGCTAGCTCAGGAAGCCCGTAAGGTGTCCAGGTTCTGGTTAAACCAGGTTTGCAGGAACACCAGTGCCCCAGGCCAGGCTGTACCTGGGCTGCAGGGGGAGCAGGGTGGCTATAGCTCAGGAGAGAGCTCGAAAAACCTCACACACGTCGCTCAAAAAACCCTATGCATAGCTCAGATGCTCTCAGGCTCAAGTGCCTACCGAAGATGGCACACATCCCCAGTACTAGAGTGAGGTGATGACTGATACCTTCTGCCAGGTTGATTGAGCTGGCTGACATGGGGATGGACAACTAAGGATGGCATAGATGCCAGTGGACATTAATTAGTGCAGTCAAAGTGGACATTAGGGTAGCCATGGCCTTGTTCATTTGGATGAGTCACTAAGGGGCAGGGATTATGATGTGGGGATCCAGGAAGGTTGGCACAAATGACCAGGAGTTGAGTCCATCTAGAGGTCCCTTTGCAACCATGAGCCCAGGCCCTGTAGGAATGGGTGAGCAGGATTTCCCCAGATCCCTTGTAACCTTAGCCATGCTGTGGTGTCCAAAGAGGCCCGCACAAGTACTGCCTCCAAAAAGAAGATAGTAAGTCGTGCATCCTTTGGGTGTTGCTCCCTGGGCAGGTGAGTGGTCAGCAGGCCAAGGACGAGGTGTCACAGCTGGTGCGGGGGCTGGGGGCTGTGCTGGAGGAGAAGCGGGCATCACTGCTTCAGGCCATTGAAGAATGCCAGCAGGAGCGGCTGGCCCGTCTCAGCGCCCAGATCCAGGAGCACCGGAGCCTGCTGGATGGCTCAGGTCTGGTGGGCTATGCCCAGGAAGTACTTAAGGAAACAGACCAGCCTTGCTTTGTGCAAGCCGCCAAGCAGCTGCACAACAGGTACTCAGGGGCATGGGATCCTAGGGGGGCAGGGACATCATGGGTGTGACCAACATCTAGGACAATGTCTACAGTACTTCCAGGTGGAGAACTGGGGTTCTGAGGATTTTCATGAGGCCAAACTGATACCAGCTCCCAAAGCAGTTCCCAAGGCTCTAGGGTCAGGCAAGAGAATTGAGGGGAAGGGTGGCTGCCCAGATGGCAGTGCCTGACCTTTTCTTGCCCCCATCCCAGGATTGCCCGAGCTACTGAAGCCCTCCAGACGTTCCGGCCAGCTGCCAGCTCCTCCTTCCGCCATTGCCAACTCGACGTGGGACGTGAGATGAAGCTGCTGACAGAGCTTAACTTCCTGCGAGGTAAGGAGATGGCCAGGCCCCATGCCCAACCAGAGCCTTCTTCCCTTCCTCCCCAGCAGCGGGCCCGGGGGGCAGTGCCCACCGGGGACCTCCCCGGCCTCCTGCCCGGCCTGGCCAGCCATTCCTCCCACCCAGCCCACCCTGCCACACCGTCCTACCGCGCTCAGCGCTGCTTCTCCCTCTCTTTGTTTGTAGGCTGTGGCCACCGCGGACTCTGCTCCGGAGCACCCCAGGCAAGTCAGCGGCCCTGCCCCGGGGGCCCTGCCCGCCGCCGGGCCCCCTTCCCACCCCGCTGCTCCCACACATCTCGGCCAACCACTCATTGCTTCCTTCTCTTTCCTGCCTTGCCCCGACCTCGTGGTCCTCCCACTGGACCAATGCCCTGTCTCTCTTCTGCCTTCTTCAGGCGCTTGCGTAATCCTGGCCCTTCTGACCTTTTGTCCTTGTGACCCTTGCCCTCTGGCCTTGCACTTCCTTTCCCTTGACCTCCAACCCCTGCCCTCAGCTTTTGCTGTCCCTCTGTTGTCCCCACTTTCCACCTCGCTGCCTCCTGCATCTCTCTTCTGAGCCTGGTCCTCTTCCTTCCTGCTTGGCGCCCTCTTGCCTGTGGGCTCCAGTGGCCTTTGCCTGCCCCTCCCTGGGCCTCCTCTTAACTCATACAATGTCTGAGCTGCAAAGGCCCCCAGAACTTACCTGATCTGATACCCTTATTTGACAGGGGAGGAAACTGAGGCCCAGAAAGGGGAAGTGACTTATTCCAGGCCAGAGTGAGGTAGCAGCAGCCCAGGACTAGCACACAGGTGTCCTCACCCCCAGCCCAGCACTTTCCAGCCTCATTCTCTTTTGGGCCCTGCCCTGCCTCTCCTGTGCCCAGTCCCGAGATGAGCCCTTCCCCAGCTCCCTCTCACCCACACTCACCCCCCCGGCTCCCGCTGCTTTCCCTTTTCCTGCCTGTCCCTGTCCTCCATGCCAGGCCAGTGGCCAGGCCCTGACTGACCCCCGCTGTCTCTTCCAACAGTGCCTGAGGCCCCCGTCATTGACACCCAGCGCACCTTTGCCTATGATCAGATCTTCCTGTGCTGGCGGCTGCCACCCCACTCACCACCTGCCTGGCACTATACCGTTGAGTTCCGGCGCACGGATGTGCCTGCCCAGCCGGGCCCCACCCGCTGGCAGCGGCGGGAGGAGGTGAGGGGCACCAGTGCCCTGCTCGAGAACCCCGACACGGGCTCTGTGTATGTGTTGCGTGTCCGCGGCTGCAACAAGGCCGGCTATGGCGAGTACAGTGAAGATGTGCACCTGCACACGCCCCCAGCACCTGGTGAGTGAGCAGGCACAGGTGGTTGTGCAAAGGGCATGGGGTATGCCAGGGCCCAGGCCCTGACGGTTGGTTCGGGTGGCCGGCCGCTAGAGAGGCCATATAACATAGTAGGTCTCACACCCACTAACTTTGGAGCTAGACTGCTTGGGTTCAAATCCCAGCTCTACCTCTTGCCAACTGTGTGAGTGGCTTCTGGCAAGTTTTTCACCCTCTCTGAACTTCAGAGTCCTTTTCTGTAGGGATAATGATAATACTAGCCAGGTGCAGTGGCTCATACCTGTAATCCAAGCACTTTGGGAAGCCAAGGAGGGAGGATTGCTTGAGGCCAGGAGTTCAAGACCAACCTGGCCAACATAGCAAGACCTGATCTCTAAAAAAATAAATAGGCCAGGCAAGGTAGCTCACACCTGGAATCCCAGCACATTGGGAGGCCGAGGCGGGCGGATCACAAGGTCAAGAGTTCGAGGCCAGCCTGGCCAACATGGTGAAACCTCGTCTCTACTAGGAATACAAAAATTAGCCAGGCGTGGTGGTGCATGCCTACAATCCCAGCTACTCGGGAGGCTGAGGCAAGAGAATCGCTTGAACCCGGGAGGCAGAGGTTGCAGTGAGCCGAGATTGTGCCACTGCACTCCAGCCTGGACGACAGAGGAAGACTCCACCGTCTCGGAAGAAATAAATAAATAAATAAATAAATAAATAAATAAATAAATAAAGGCCAGGCGAGGTGGCTCACACCTGTAATCCTGGCACTTTGGGAGGCCAAGGCAGGTGGATCACCTGAGGTTGGGAGTTTGAGACCAACCTGACCAACATGGAGAAACCTACTAAAAATATAAAAGTAGCCAGGTGTGGTGGCACATGCCTGTAATCCCAGCTACTTGGGAGGCTGAGGCAGGAGAATCACTTGAACCTGGGAGGCGGAGGTTGTGGTGAGCCGAGATCGCGCCATTGCACTCCAGCCTGGGCAACAAGAGTGAAACTCTGTCTCAATCAATCAATCAATCAATAAAATACATTTTAAAAAATTATTTTTGGCCAGGCACGGTGCCTTACACCTGTAATCCAAGCACTTTGGGAGGCCGAGGCAGGTGGATCACGAGGTCAGGCATTCAAGACCAGCCTGGCCAACATAGTGAAACCCCGTCTCTACTAAAAATAAAAATAATTAGCTGGGCGTGGTGGCAGGTGCCTGTAATCCCAGCTACTTGGGAGGCTGAGGCAGGAGAATCGCTTGAAGCTGGAAGGCGGAGGTTGCAGTAAGCTGAGATTGTGCCACTGCACTCCAGCCTGGGGAACAGTGTGAGACTCCGTGTCAAAAAAAAAATTATTTTTAAAAAATGATAATGCTTACCTCATAGGGTTACAAGAATTCAGCTGGTGTGAGACGATGCATGGGAGTCTGAGTACAGCGTCTGGCTCATGGTTAGGGCTCAAGAATGTTACTAAAGTGACTAGAAAATAGTTTGAACTCCAGGGTGTGGGCATGAGAGGGAAGCCTTGCCACCCAAGTAGCGACTGGGTATAAGGGCCAGGTGTGAACCCAGAGTATGGGCTGGAAGGCATAGATTGATGGTGATGGGAATGTCACCAGGTAGAACAGAATAGTGGGAACTGTCCATGGGGCTGGCCACAAGTAAGGGGTTGGAGGAAACCCCATGAGTCAGCCAAGTCCAGAGCACTGGCTTCTGTGCCCACTGTCATCACAGAAACTCTCTGGGGTCCTATGCCCATTTGGAATGCCCCCTTCTTTTTTCCTCATGCCTCCCTTTCCTGTTTCTCATGTCCTGTTCTCTTGAACCCCCTGCCCGTTCCTGGTGACTGAACCCCCTTGCAATGCATTCCCTGTTCTGCAGTCTCACAGCCCCCAGTGCCAGTGTTTGTCCCTGAAGTTCTTCCTCCATCTCAACCCTCTCCCTCCTTCCAGTCCTGCACTTCTTCCTCGACGGCCGCTGGGGTGCAAGCCGAGAGCGGCTGGCCATCAGCAAGGACCAGCGAGCAGTACGGAGTGTTCCAGGACTGCCCCTGCTGCTGGCTGCTGACCGGCTGCTGACCGGCTGCCACCTGAGTGTGGATGTGGTCCTGGGCGACGTGGCTGTGACCCAGGGCCGCAGCTACTGGGCCTGCGCTGTAGACCCAGCCTCCTACTTGGTCAAGGTGGGCGTCGGGCTGGAGAGCAAGCTTCAAGAAAGTTTCCAGGGTGCCCCCGATGTGATCAGCCCCAGGTCAGACCCCTCTGGAAGGGATGGAGTATGGGGGTCCTGGTGGAAGTGAGGGGCACGGAAGGGGTGGCAAGCGGAGCACAGACTTGCTAGGGTGGGATGGGAGGGGATTAGGAGGAAGTAGTAGGAGCATGGAAGCCAGGTTGGGAGGCCTGTGGCCAGGAGAGGCATGGGCTCAGCAAAAGGGCTTTTGAGGACTGATTTTCAGAGCGTGGTGTGTGGTCAGGGAAAGGGATGATAGAAGAGGGAGCCATCTCTGCTTCCTTCCAACCATCTGCCACTCTGGACCAATACACCATCTCTCCAAGCATCTGTATCCTTTCTTCCTAACACTCCATTTCCAACATCCCTTCTCCATAAAACCTTTGCTCTCCAAGACCTCCTTCACCCATATCTTAAAATTCCTCCCTTAGCCGGGCACAGTGGCTCACGCCTATAAACCGAGCACTTTGGGAGGCCGAGGCAGGCAAATCACTGGAGGTCGAGAGTTCAAGACCAGCTTGACCAACATGGAGAAACCCTATCTCTACTAAAAATACAAAAAAATTAGCTGGGTGTGGTGGCACATGCCTGTAACCCCAGCTACTCGCGAGGCTGAGGCAGGAGAATCACTTGAACCCGGGAGGTGGAGGTTGCGGTGAGCCAAGATTGTGTCATTGCACTCCATCCAGCCTGCGTGACAAGAGCAAAACTCCTTCCAAAAAAAAAAAAAATCTTCCCTTAAACATCTCACCTCCATAACCCTCCTCTCCTCAACTCCCTATTTAAAACTCTCCCACTGGCCGGGCTCGGTGGCTCAAGCCTGTAATCCCAGCACTTTGGGAGGCCGAGACGGGCGGATCACGAGGTCAAGAGATCGAGACCATCCTGGATAACACGGTGAAACCCCGTCTCTACTAAAAAATACAAAAAAAACCTAGCCGGGCAAGGTGGCGGGCGCCTGTAGTCCCAGCTACTTGGGAGGCTGAGGCTGGAGAATGGCGTAAGCCTGGGAGGCGGAGCTTGCAGTGAGCTGAGATCCGGCCACTGCACTCCAGCCTGGGCTACAGAGCGAGACTCCGTCTCAAAAATAAATAAATAAATAAATAAATAAATAAATAAATAAACTCTCCCACTAATGCTTTTCATCCTAAGCCTTCTCCCCAGCACTCTGTCCCCCAACACCTTATTTCTTCAAAATGCTTTCTCCCCAACACAAATCCCCTCCTAAACCCCATTGTCCCCAACCCCACATCCCTCTAACACCGTTCATTTGTGACACCAATACACCCTCATCTCTCTCCCGACACCCACCTTCCCAACATCCTTTCTCTTCTTAGTCACTAATTTCGGATTCTTCCAACGTCCTCTCATCCTCAGAACCATCTCCCCAGCATGATTTCCCCAACACCATTTTTCTCGACGCCTTTCCACGTGCTATACCAATGCTATGTCTTTCCCGTCCCCCCAGCCCCTCTTGCCAATGTGCTTTCCTTTCAGTGCTCTCTTTCCACCAAACCCAAACCCCTGACCCTATACTCCAACCTGCCTCTTCAGCGTTTTCTTCTCAACACCCAAAATCCATCCCTTCTACCTCTTGCTCCTCAACATTCCATCCTTCCAGCGTCTCCCTCTGGTACCTCATCTGTCACTCCATCCCTCAACAATCTCATCCCCAACACCCGCTTCTGCAGGTACGACCCGGACAGCGGGCACGACAGCGGTGCCGAGGATGCCACAGTGGAGGCGTCGCCGCCCTTTGCTTTCCTAACCATTGGCATGGGGAAGATCCTGCTGGGGTCGGGGGCAAGCTCAAACGCAGGGCTGACGGGGAGGGACGGCCCCGCAGCGGGCTGCACAGTGCCCCTGCCACCTCGCCTGGGCATCTGCCTGGACTACGAGCGGGGCCGGGTTTCCTTCCTGGATGCTGTGTCCTTCCGTGGGCTCTTGGAGTGCCCCCTGGACTGCTCAGGGCCTGTGTGCCCTGCCTTTTGCTTCATTGGGGGTGGCGCAGTACAGCTCCAGGAACCAGTGGGCACTAAGCCTGAGAGGAAAGTCACCATTGGGGGCTTCGCCAAGCTGGACTGAGCCTTCCAGGTCCCTCATGCAGACCTGGGGTCCTCCTGGGCCCTGGCCCCCAAACCTCTTGGCGCCGGGTTGTTACCCCCTGGAAGCTTCTCCCCCAAACTCTCCTACCATGTGGCCCTGCCCCTTCTCCCATGCCTGTGTCTTCTCACGGTTTTCTCTTGACCCAGGGGCTCTCTTCTGCCCACCTCTCTGGATGGCCCCCGTTCTCTCCATTGCCTGTTAGCCAGGCCCCCACCCCCACTGAGTCTGCCCTATGACCTGCCTTTGGCATGTTACCCAAGCTATGGAGAGAGCCCCTTCTCCATCCCTGTCCTGTGCTCCCCAGGCTGATTGGGCCGGGCACCTGAAACACTGGGCATGATCTCCAGCTCTGCCCTTGCCCTGCCAAGCTCCCTGCCCTGTTGATGCTGGGAGCTTGGAACAGGCAGGCTTTGGGGCTGGAAGCTGTCCAGGCACTCCTGGTGACGGGAAGGGGACCCTGTCATCCTGCTTTATTTATTTGGGTCCCGACCCCCTGCAGCCGCATGCCCCTTACGTCCCTCTTCTCCCTCTTGCATGCTTTTACCTGTCCCGCACCCACGCCAATGTGCCAAGTCTCCCTTGGGGACCCAGCTGAGTCTGGGTGTTCCCATTGGGTTCGGCCAGGCAAGGCCTCTGGTGCCCGCTGCCGTCCTCCTGCAGTGGGCTCTGCTAGGCCTGTGCTGAGCAACAGCTGTTATTGTCATGGTTTATAAATAATAAACTGTGATGCCAGGCACATCTCTGCTTTCCCTGAGCACAATCATTCCTGTTAGTTTCTGTGCTGGGTGTGGTGGGCGGGAGGGAGCAGGGTGCTAGGCTGTGGTTCTGGGCAGGGGCAACCAATGGATCTGGTGCCTGAGGGAGGAAGGCCCCAGGCTAGGCGCTCTAAGCCTCCTGCCACAGGTGTCCTGACCCCACCTGAGCCCACCACAGCTGCCAGGAGACATAGCTCTCTGACTGCTGGCAACAGGCCCCAACCAGGGCATCCAGGCCTGCCCTGCAGCACCAGGCCCTGGGGGAATGCGGTTGAGGGGACAGGCAATGTGCCTGGGCCCAAAGGGATCAGGGAACCAGAACCACTTCCCCATTCCCAGGGTGTTGTGGAGCCCACCCCAGGGGCAGCAGGCTGGTGGGGCAGCTGGGGTCAGGGAGGGGGCTGGGCCTGGTGCCAGCACCTGGATCTGACCCAGCCTCCGCATATCTCAACCCTGTTGACTCTGGGCTGTTATCACTGCCCAAGGATTTACTTCACACCCAGACAGCTAAGAATAGAGCCACCTGGGGGCACTGTGCCAGGGGGCAAGGAGGGCGTGGGCCAGGCGAAGAGAGGGGAGAGCCACTGGCACACAGAGCCCAGTCACGGAGCCCAGTCATGCTAGCCCTCCAAAACCCGCCTGGGTTTCGTTTCCTCCTTCCGCTTGTGCTGCCAGGGTTAGCCAGAGGTGGCTTCTCAGGCCACCCCTACACCCAACGTCACCTCCTCCTCACATCTCCTGCTTCTCAAACAAACTCGCTCCTTACTGCCTCCTGGCCTCCCTGTCTCCTCCCCCAGGCCTCTCACACACATTCTGACCGCCCTGCTGCCCACGGGCCACAGATGAAAGATCAGAAGTTGACACAGCGGGAGGCCACGTTTTATTCAGTCCTGTTCAGGTCCCCTGCTATCTCCGGGCTCTCTGGGCCAGTCCTCCTGGGAGCCCCACTGCAACACTTCCCAGGCATAAGCCCTCAAGGGCCCACATGAGCTTCCACAGACCGAGAAGGTTCCGAGAACTTGGTGGGGCCTCTGAGGAAGGCTGTGAGCAGCCCACCTGAACTCCCAGCTCACCAGCCCAAAACAGGGTGCAGGGGCTCTGGCCCTGAAGAACCTGAGTGGGGTGGACTGGCAGTGGCTGGCCACTCAGCTCAGTAGGCGACGTGCCCCTACAAGTTGGCAGAAGTGGCTGCCACTGCTGGGTTTGTGTAAGAGAGGCTGCTGCCACCATTACCTGCAGAAACCTAGGTGGAAGGAAAAGAGATCCAGGGTGAGGAGCAGAAGGTACCTCCTAGAGCCCCTGGATGCCACCCCACGCTGGGGTAATCAGTCCAGAGTCCTGGCCAGCTCTCAAAGGGCTTATTCAGAGAGAGCACCTGCCACCCCACCAGCCGGTAACTGTAAACAGGGCTGCCCTCCTCCCTCTGCTCTCCTTCACTTCCTCTTCTTGGCTCTAATCAGCCGCCTTGTCCCTCTATTCTCTGCTGTTCCAGCCAAAGAAGGTGTGTAGGTGTGTGTGTGTGTGTGTGTGTGTGTGTGTGTGTGTGTATCTGTGTCTTTGTAAAACCGAGAGAGGGAGGTCTCCAGGACGAGGAAAATAGGAGCAAGAAAAATAAACTCCTCTCTCCTCCCCAACCTGGAGTGGTTTTCCAGCCTCAGGTGGCTGCAGTAATTATTTACTAGGTCCCACAGAGAAAAGCCAGGAGAGGAAGGAGGGAGGGTTCCTTACTTCCTTGAAGCTCCCAAGAACCCAACTGGCACCCAGGCTCACCTGGTCTGCTGACACTTCTTCCTCTACCTGGGAAACCTCCCCCTACACCAGTCTTTCTCGGTCTACCCTCTATTCCTAGGAGATGATTAGGGGCACAGGGGCTCACCCCTGTGACTCCTCAGGAAGGGCTCCCCTGGGCATAGTGCTCTACCCATTTTGCCTCTGGGTGCAAACAAAACAAAACAAAACAAAACTGCTGCGGTGGCACCAGTTCAGCCAGCTCCAGTCAGCATGAATGTGGACAGCCAATGCTCTTTTAGGAATTCTGGTAGTGGGGCCACTTCTTCTTGAGGGCCCCTTTCTTTCATGGTCTCCTCCCAGGCCTGTCCCCCAGAACTCCTCTGACCTCTGCCCCCCCATCCTTGCCAGGTCCTCCTCTGCTCACTTCATGCCACTTCTCACCTCTTCCAAGCTCTTTGGGTTTTCCAAGTACCCCCTTCAGAACCCTTGCCCAGCCAAAGCCTCTGCCTCCCCCGGCCTGTGGGACCCAATCTCACCTCCTCATAGGGGCTACGATTGGTACCGCCAGGGGGCACATAGCGCCCATGGGTGTGGTAGGTGGGGTACTCGCTCATAGGATGGTAGGCATCCCGGGCGGGAAAGATGTCCAGCTGCCTGTAGTTCTTTTGGCGGCACTGACAGACAGCCTGGGGAAATAGGAGGTTATGGCAGACCATGGAGTGCTTTCTGTCGGCGGGGGGGAGGGCACTGATCAGGGCCAGGGACTGCACTCACCAAGGCAATGAAATAGACGATGGCCAGCACAACCAGAACACAGACCAGCACCAGGAGCGCAATGCCCCAGCCTGGCACCCCAGCCCCGGATTGGGCAGAGAAAGGAAATGGCACATCACGCACTAAAAGGAAAAGCAGTGGTCAGGGCAGTCTCCCAGAGGAGGTGCCCCTCGAACTGCCAGCACTAAGGAAAGAGTGGGGAACCAGACACTGGAAGGAGAGGGGCCCCAGCATGGTGCTGGGCTGCAGCCAGGGAAGTAGCCTCACCGCTGACGTCTGAGATCGTCAGGTTATATCGAGAGGCTGCTTCCGTTTTACGTTGATTGAACTGTGTCTCCACGTCGTGGACATTGGTGGTACCTTCTCGGAAGACGAGAGTCGATTGTACCACCACAGATCCTGGCCTGGTCACAGGGAAATGGGCACTTCAGCCACGGGTCCCAGCTCTGGCTCAGGACTCTCCCCCAACCTTGAGTGCACCAGTCCCTCCTTACGGTCATGACCAACACCCACCCTCCAACCACCACACTGAGTCCACACCCAGAACTATACCTGAACATAATATTGGAGAGGCCCAGAAAATCCCCTTGTTTATAAATCTGCAAAAACTGGGGTGAGAGGGAAAGGACTCAGGCTTGATGCAAAGGGTGTGGACAGTTCTGATGGCTGCTTCAGGGTAACATGGGAAAGAAAAGGCTGATACTCACCAATTCAGAAATGTCTCTCTGCAGCTGTTGGTAGTAGTTGGTGCTGGGATCTTCCAGAGAGGAATTAAACTGAAGGTTTGAAATGTGAAAAGACAAGAAAAAGAAAGAGACCCCAATAGACAACTGGGGAGAAGTGCTGTGATTGGAGGAGGTGAGAGGAGGTACTGTGCTATGGTGAGTGCTACTGGCATCAGTCTTGGTGCTGTGGCTGACAAGGGTGGTAGGAGTATCAGAGTGGTGGCTGGGAATTGAGAATGGAGTGCTCTTGCTGGCTGGGGTGGTGGTAGCCCTGGCAGAGGTGGTGCTGTGCACCAGAGTGGAAGCTGAGCCTGATGCAGAGTCTGACGCCGAGGTGACATCGTGGGCTGGGGGGGCGGTGGAGCCCGGGGCTGCACTGGTGTCCGGGGCCGAGGTGACATCGTGATCTGACGCGAGGTGACATCATGGGCTGGGGGTGGTGGAGCCCGGGCTGCACTGGTGTCCGGGCCGAGGTGACATCGTGGGCTGGGGGCGGAGCCCGGGGCTGTACTGGAGTCCTGGGCCGGTGTGACATCGTGGGCTGGGGCGTGGAGCCCGGGCTGCACTGGTGTCCGGCCGAGGTGACATTGTGGGCTGGGGGCGGGGTGGAGCCCGGGCTGCACTGGTGTCCGGGCCGAGGTGACTTCAGGGCTGGGGGCGGGAGCCCGGGCTGCACTGGTGTCCGGGGCCGAGGTGACATCATGGGCTGGGGGCGGGTGGAGCCCGGGGCTGCACTGGTGTCCGGGGCCGAGGTGACATCAGTGGGCTGGGGGGCTGTGGAGCCCGGGGCTGCACTGGTGTCCGGGGCCGAGGTGACATCGTGGGCTGGGGGCTGTGGAGCCCGGGCTGCACTGGTGTCCGGGGCCGAGGTGACATCGTGGGGCTGGGGGGCGGTGGAGCCCGGGGCTGCACTGGTGTCCGGGGCCGAGGTGACATCGTGGGCTGGGGGGGCGGTGGAGCCCGGGGCTGCACTGGTGTCCGGGGCCGAGGTGACATCGTGTCCCAAGGTGGTAGCCGAACTTGCGGTTGGTTCCATGGCCAAGGCTGGGGTGACGTCCTGTCCCTGAGTGGTGGAGGAGCCTGAAATGGGGCTGTGGCTGGAGAGTACACTGCTGGTCATACTCACAGCATTCTTAGTAGAGATGGGCATTGAACTTCTTTGGGTAGCCGAAGTCTCCTTTTCTCCACCTGGGGTAGAGTTTGTATGACCAGAACCTGTAACAACTGTTGTGGGTTCAGGGGCTGTGGCAGCTGTATTAAGTTAAAGTAATAGGGTTGGGTTGAAGGAAAAATAAGAGCAAGAAGAAAATATAAGCTCTGGCCACCAGAGAAATAATACCAGGAGGACTGGGGAGTGGGCAGCCTCAGCAGCCCCTGGGTTGGCTGCCTCCTTCCCTGCAGCAGCCTCCTTCTGTCTGCCCACAGGCCTCAGCTCCTGGCCCCTGCATTTCTCCCCTCTTAAGCCTCCCTTCTCCCTACTCCCTTCCCCCTAGACTTCTCTTCAGGACATTTGCTTGCCCCTGGCACCCACTCTTAGGGGTGGGGGCATCTCTTTTCAGCCTGTCCTTAGCCTCTCCCTTCTTCTGGCACAGATAGAATTCTTGCCTTTCATGGTGCATCTGCCAGGGAGCAAAACCCACAGAAAGACCACGAACACCACCTAAGCAGGGCAGCCCACTCCCCACCTTGTGCCCCTCACCTGTAAGCACTGTGAGGATCAGGAGCAGGAAGAAAGGAGACTGGGTGCCTGGTGTCATGGTGGTGGTGGACTGGGTGGGGAGAGGGCAGAACAGTCTCAGGCAGGCGCTGCTTGAGAGGTGGAGCGGGCACAGGCGCCTGCTGCTTTATACCGGTCCCCCTGGCCCCCTCCCCCCTGCCCGCCCGCCCTAGGCACAGCTGGAGCAGGTGACAGGTGACAAAACCCCGCCCTCTCCCCCTTCCCTACCTCCTACCTGTTCCTCCTCCTCCCCTACCATTCCTGGGTAGGCTACAAGGGCTCTAATCGCTCAACCCCCTGACTACCCATTTCTTCTCCAGCTGGCCTCCCCCTTTCACCAACCACTCCCTGGCTCCAGGGTGGAGTGAGGAGGGGCAGTCTGGAACCTGGAGCCCCTGGGCTCTAGTTTTAGCCCCAGGGCAACAACTAAGGTGGGAATGGGGAACAAAGCCGGCTAGGTTGAGGTTCTGTACAGCAAGGCCAGGAAGCCCACCCCTAGGTCTCCCACTCCACTTCCCTGCCCTCCTTGGGTCCATCGAAGCAGAGCGGGGCCGAGAAATAAGAGGGCTGGATAATGAGTGGACTAGGTGCTAGTTTTGGGCTCCCTCCCCCCACCACTTCCCGGAATAGCCCCACCCTTCTAACCGCTCCCTGTCCCGTTCCAAACGCAGTTCTACCCTGAAACCCAGTCCCCGCCCCAGCCGGACTTTCCAGCAGCCTGGGTTCCCTCCTTGGCATTCTCCTGAGAAGGGAGTGGGGGAAGAAATTTCCACTTAAGGGAGGAAACCTGGGCTCCGATGAACCCTAGGGTCCTTCCTTGCCACTGTCCACCACTGGCCAGGAGCTCCTCCCGCCCTCTAGTGGTCACCAGGAGCCTTGCGGGACTGGACCGCGCCGGCTGAGGAGCTTTTCTGACCTGGCGGAGAGGAGTAAGGGCAGCGCTGCCTAAGTGGGGCAGCGAGAGCCCGCGAGAGGGAGGTAGGGCCCGGGAGAGAAGGGTCACTACCGTGGCCAGGGAAGGAGGAACGCACAGCATGGTGGACTTCTGGGAGCTTTAGGAGGGGGCACTCCCGGACGCAAGGTGGTGGCGTCTGGAGGAAATGGAGCTAAGCGGGTGGGGTCCTGAGGTATGTGGAAGGGGCACTGAGATATGTGGGAGAGGACATTGGAACGTGGGCAGGGGAGTTGGACATGTTCTGTGTGGGCCGTTATGTACTTAAGAGGCAAATCGGGCCGGGCGCGGTGGCTCACGCCCGTAATCCCAGCACTTTGAAAGGGCGAGGCGGGTGGATCACGAGGTCAGGAGTTCAAGACCAGCCTGGCCAAGTTGGTGAAACCCCGTCTCTACTAAAAAATACAAAAATTAGCTGAGCGTGGTGGCGGGCGCTGTAATCCCAGCTACTCAGAGGTTGCTCTGAGCCGAGATCTCACCACTGCACTCCAGCCTGGGCGACAGAGCAAGACTCCGTCTCAAAAAGGGGGGGGGGCGCAGAGAGTAGTTGGAATGACAGAATGGGATTTAGGGACAGAACTATCCTTTGGGGCGCAGAGTGGTATTGGGGACAGGTAGGTACGTAGTGGGAGGCAAAAGCACACGTAAGGTGCGTAATGCGCAAGAGCCGAGAGGTGTGTGCGGCAGCAGTGCACCAGGGGAGGAAGCTATCCCCGGCCGCGGCAGCACGTGGAACTTGGGTCCCGCAGTCGCAGGCTGCGCTCTAGGCCAACGGAAGCAGTTCCGCCTGTATTCGGAAAACAGTTCTCAGCCCCAAAGACACAGGTTGGAAAGCACTTTAAAAACACTTCGGCGAGGCACGGGATTGGAGAGCATCGGATCAGCAGACGAGAGACCACCGTTCCCACCCGCCCGCCGCTCGGTACCCGAGGCGCAGCTTTGTGCGCGGCGAGACCCCGGGGCGGGCGCTGGGCGGGGTGGGGGCGTCTGACGTCAGTGCGCCCGGGAACGCGGGCCGGGGAGGCGGGGAGCCCCCCACTCGCAGGCTGGAGAAAACCAGAGTAGTTAGGTGGGCGGCCCCAAACCTCAACTCCCGGCATTGCCAGGCAACAGCCATTCAGTTCGGTTGCTGGGACACGCGTCACCATGGCGACGGCTCCGCGCCGGGCAGTCTGAGTACTTAAAGAGCAAGCGCGCGCAACGCCCGGGCGTAGGAAAGCGGCCTTCCGGGACTCCGCAAACTCCCGTTCTTCTTCCCCCCTCCCCCTTACCATTCCCTTTGCCTTGTGGGCGCCAAGTCTCTCTGGCCTCCAAGGTGAACCCAACTCCCAACTCCCCAGCGCGCCCCGGGTTCCCGGGTCGGGCCAGCTTCAGGCGGTGGGGAGCGGGATCCCGGGCCCCGGGCGGGCGGGAGGGACGGGACGCGGTGCAGTGTTGTTCTTTCCCCCGCCAATATTGCACTCGTCCCGGCCTCCGGCCCCCCCGGCCCCCCGGCCTCCCCCCTACCCCTAGCGGGGCAGCCCCCGCCCTCCTGGCTCTCCATCCCGGCGGATCTTTGATAGACTGGAGTGTCGCCGCTGCCACCGTGAGTAAGTGGGGCTGGGAGGACTTCGGGCATCCTCCGACAGGCACCCTATCCTCCACTTAACTCCATCCAGCACCTCCCCAACCCGCACCCCCAAATCAGCCAAACTTCCCCTAGATCCCTAACTTCCCCCCTCCCAGGCTTTCTCTTCTACTCCCCAATTCCTTCCACTTCCCCACCCTATCTCGGAAAATTCCTAAAATAAGCAGTTGCACTGGCTTAGAAAACAACCAGAACTTTATGGCAATGTGCTGTCATCTTTCCTGGGGTTAGTGCCTGAGTAATACCCCTTGAAAACTCATCCCCTGCAGAGTGGGGCGACCACCCCTCTGGAACTGAACTCCTTTTGGGTGCCAGAGAAGGGTCTGTGGTTGGCTGAGGGGCTGTAGCTTAGACCTCAGGGTCTCCAGGGTGGATCCCAAGGCCAAAGGGTCTAAAATTCTGAATTCTGAATCCGGTGGCCTCCTCCTCACACCCTTCCCTGGAGCAGCTGCCTCCGGAATGGCTCAAAGTCCTCAGGCACTGTGTCTGAAGGGGAAATAAGTAAAGTCAGAGGATGTGGCTCTCCCATAAGGCATGAAGGATCAGGTTGATCTCAATCAGTCACCTCACCATTGCATCGATACTGGAGATTGGACCAAATGATGTTTTCTTGGGAAAAGCAGAATACACCAAGACGCCCCCCTCGCATGGATGTGTCAATGATCCCCAGAATCCGCCACAAGCTGGGGTCCCTCATAGAGCTTCACCCTGTCCAGGATTCCAGGATAGGAGTGTCCATTGGTGCTAGGGTGCCAGTGGGCACTCTGCCACCATGCCTGGGGCCTTGCTTTTCCCCAGCCCCCCTTGAGCTCACCAGGCCTGAGAGAGAAGGGAGGGAGGGAAAGGGAGGCAGGAAGGAGAGGGAAGGGGGGTGCTTTTCTCAGGCCTGGGGCCCCAGCTCTTTGTCCAGCTCCTTTTGCATCTCAAAGCACCAGCCGCATTCCAAGCGAGGATTGGGTTGCCATGACGATAAGCACAATGGGCTGGGGGGTGAAGTCACCCGCTTCCCAGGCTCTAGTCCACCCCCTTTTATCCCCTGTCCTGGCACCCCACAGCCCCAGGCACCTTAAAGGGGAACCAACCCAGGTTCCTGGATTCTGGGCTCTTGGCCATGGAGAGTCCAGCCTCTAAGCAGACCCATTTCCCCTCCCTTCCTGTTCATCCCCACCAACTAGGGCTACTTGTTGGAGAGGAATGCAAAGTTGTGAACAAAGTGCTGAACCGAGGCCTGTGAAGTCAGGGCCTTGGTTTTCTCTTCTGTAAATGATGATCCCTTCCAGGTCAGATGATCCTTATCCAGGTTGATAAGACAGATTCCAGGCCATACCAACTAAGGGACCAGATGTGATGTGCCCCTCCACAGATTGGCCTGGGTTTGGAGCCTTCTGGAGAACTGTAAAGGGCATCTAACCCAATGCCCTCATTTTACAGAGGGGAAAATAGGTCATGGAGGAGGAGTGACTTCACCAACATCACTCATAGGTGCTTGTGTCCGTGGTGAGAAAGGGAGATGGAGAGAAGTGGCTGCAGTCCCCACCCATGGAGAGGTCACTGGTGAGTCCCAGCTAAAGAGGAAGGACAGGCCCGGCCTGAGTCCCACAGGTGGGCTCAGCCCCTCTCCTTACCGAATGTAGCCAACTTGAGGCCGGTGCAGAAGCTGCCAGCGATAGGAGGTCTTATCCCGCCAGCCCACATTTCGTGGGTCCGTCCACAGTAGTCGCACCTGATCAGGGGTGTGGCCAGTATGCCACAGGGCATTTCGGAGGTGCTCACCTGGGCCAGACACTGATGTCACTGCCTGGGAGACATTGGCAAAGACAGTGGGTCAACTGCAGAACTGGAGTGAGGGGAGACAAACAGGTTGGTAAGTGCAGGTGGGAAAGGGAGTCAAGGCGGTCATGAAAATGCCCTGGGGCCCCAGAGAGCTGGCTCCAAGCCAGATGTCTGGGTAAGAGGGTTCCCAGTCAAGCAGTGGGGGAGGCCCTGGGGCTGCAGAGGAGAGCTTTGGGAAAGGGCCCTGGGTTGGGGAATCTGAGCAGCTGGGGACCTTGAGCTGCAGCCCGGGCTGGGCAACCGCCCGAAAGGGTGTAGCCTGCCAGTAGGTCTGCTCAGTCTGCTTCCACATGACTACGTAGAAGCGGCCACTGTCTTGATAACTGAAGAGAAAGCCTGCGTAGTCATCGTCAGTCACTGTGTTCACATGGAAGGTGCCTTCAAAGTCCACACCATTGAAGGCCGTGTATCCTGGGGTGGGGGTGGGATAAAGGTCAGGGGCAGCAAAGCTACTGGTGGCCCATCATGGGGTGAAGTTGGGAAAGGATGCCTGCTGTGTGTGTGGCCAGCTTGTGCCACTGCCTTCTCTCTCACCACTTTGCCCATTCTCCCTGTCTATTTCCTCCCCTACCCTCTGCCCCTATAGGATTCCTCCATTTGGAAGTGATTGAACTATGTATCCCTTACATACCAACTGCCAAGCCAGGGTCACTGTTCATGGTCTGAACGATTTCCATGCCCTGGGGTTGTATAGTAAAGAAAAAGCTGTGATGCAGGTGTGCTATCCCTCCCAGGCCCCCCGCCCCAGTAGCCCTGTCTGATAGCACCTGCCCAGCCCACTGCCCCGAGTACCTGGTTGAGCACAACCCAGTTTGGGTCAATCTGAGCATCACCCTCAGGATCCAGGACGACGGTCTGATAGGCCCGAAAATCCGTAAGCGTTACCTCTGCACTTTCGGGACACACATCCAGGGGGTCGACCACAGCATCATTGTCAAAGTCATCCTCACACACATCACCAACGCCATTGCCTGGGCAGAGTGAGGCTGGGTGCTCAGGAAGGCCCTGGCCACTGCCATTAGGCAACAATACCACCTGTTGGGCCTTGCATTCCTGACTTCTTTCCCCACCCTGCCGTTCCTCACTTCCCAACGGGGCTTGCTGCCTCCAGCTGGGCAAAGGCAACACCAGTCTAACGCGCTCTGGGTCCCCAGGCTTACCATCTGAGTCCTTCTGATTGGGATTGGGTACCAGGCGGCAGTTATCAGGACCAGGAGGCACGTAATCTGGGATGCCATCATTGTCATCATCCCCATCACACTCATCTCCAAGTCCATCGTTGTCTGAGTCCAGCTGGGAGCTATTTGGCAGCTGTGGGCAGTTGTCCTTGGTGTCCTGATGCCCATCCCCATCACTAATCAGAAGAACAGGTACCAAATAAAGGCTTTAAAGGTACTTTTTGTCCTTCCCCTTGCTTCTGCCTGGGAGCCTCTGGAGTCTACTCTCCATACAGTCAGACCTCTGGCAGTCAGTTTTGTGAGGTGAAGGTCCAGCATAGGAATGGAGGAATGACTATAAGAATGACTTCCTGCTCAATAGTGATAGAGAATTAAGGCTAAATCATAGAAGGAATTTAGAATATACTATGGCCCGGGCACAGTGGCTCACGCCTGTATTCCCAGGACTTTGGGAAGCCAAGGTGGGCAGATCACCTGACGTCAGGAGTTCGAGACCAGCCTGGCCAACACAATGAAACCCTGTTTCTACTGAAAAAAAAAATTAGCCGAGCTTGGTAGCACGCGCTTGTAATCCCAGCTACTCAGGAGGCTGAGGCAGGGAAATCGCTTGAACCCTGGAGGCAGAGGTTGCAGTAAGCCGATACCACATCACTGCACTCCAGCTTGGATGGCAGAGTGAGACTCCATCTCAAAAAAAATAGGAGGCCGGGTGCGGTGGCTCACACCTGTAATCCCAGCACTTTGGAAGGCTGAGGCGGGCGGATCACGAGGTCACAAGATCGAGACCATTCTGGCTAACACGGTGAAACCCCGTCTCTACTAAAAACACAAAAAATTAGCCAGGTGTGGTGGTGGCCAATTGTAGTCCCAGCTACTCGGGAGGCTGAGGCAGGAGAATGGCGTGAACCCAGGAGGCGGAGCTTGCAGTGAGCCGAGATCATGCCACTGCACTCCAGTCTGGGCAGCAGAGAGAAACTCTGTCTCAAAAAAAAAAAAAAAAAAAGATATACTAGAGAAAAGTAAAATATCCCCTATAAGAACTTGCATTTTGCCAGGCACAGTGGCTCACACCTGTAATCACAGCACTTTGGGAGGCAGAGGCTGGTGGATCACCTGAGGTCAGGAGTTCGAGACCAGCCTGGCCAATATGGTAAAACCCTGTCTCTACTAAAAATACAAGAATTAGCTGGGCTTGGTAGCACACGCCTGTAATCCCAGCTACTCGGGGAGGTTGAGGCAGGAGAATCATTTGACCCTGGGAAGCGGAGGTTGCAGTGAGCCAAGATCGTGCCACTGTACTCTAGCCTGGGTGACAGAGCAAGACTCCGTCTCAAAAAAAAACAAACAAAAAAAGAAATACCTTGCATCTCTTGATCAAGACCTTACCTGTCTTCATTGGTATCACAGACATCCCCCACCAAGTCGCTGTCTACATCTGTCTGAGAGAGAGGGACCTGTTCTCACCATCTCCTCTTTATAACTCTGAAGAGGGTGATCTGACCACTTCCCATCCAAAGGGCTGGGGCTTCATCCATCAGTACTCTCATCCCTCCCGTCCTTACCATCCCCCTGTACCTGGGTAGGATTGCTCATTTCAGGACAGCTGTCGCAAGCATCTCCCACCCCGTCCTCATCCCTGTCTGTCTGTAGTGGGTTGGGGACTTTAGGGCAATTGTCCAATCCATTGGGGATGCCTAGAAGACATGGGTGGCACAAGGTTGTTACTAGAACACGCCATACTCTCTCTCCTAGGTTGGTGAAAGTCCTGAACTTTGTCTCCCCACCTAGAGGACAACTGGTCAGGAAATCTGCCTGTTTCTTGTCTCACCTTCTAGTCCACACTCTGCCCAACGCTACGCCCTGCCTCACATTCCCATTGACATCTGCTGCAGGTAATCTCTCCTCACCCAGGCCAGTGTCCACAAGCCTGCCTCCCCAGTTCACAGAGATGTCCTAGCTTCCCTTCTTCATCCCTACCTGATCCAAATTCTTACAGGTCCCCCAGCCACCCCTTCAGCCCCAGGCCTGCACCATCCCCATCCACGTCGTTGTCACAGGCATCTCCTTCCCCATTGCCATCTGTGTCCTTCTGGTCATTGTTGGGAACGTTGGGGCAATTGTCACAGGCATCACCAAATGAATCTGTATCTGAGTTCTGTTGGTCTTTGTTGGGGAACAGCCGGCAGTTGTCCTGGGCAGAGGGGTGGGAGGGGAAGGGTCAGGTCTCCTCTAAATCACTTGTCATCTTGCGCCTACTTTGTCACTGTATCCTTTTCTAAGATCACACCCTTGTGATGGACAAACTGCTCAGCACAGTCCCACCCACCCAGCCTCCTTGTCCTGGGCACGAGGTTTTTGCCTCTCTGATTTGGAGTATTGGGCCCTTCCTAGAGGACTGCCAAATGAGGTAAGAGAGGCACTGAGAGGACAGGAGGAGAGGAGCTCCAAGGGGCAGGGCAATCTGGGAGTCACCTCAACATTCTTGATCCCATCCCCATCAGCATCGTCATCACACTGGTCCCCCACACCATCATTATCAGCATCTTCCTGCCCAGAGTTGGGTGTCAAAAGGCAGTTGTCCTAAAGTTCAGGGGAAGAGAATGGATGAGTTCTGGCCTGACCCAGCCTGGGCTCCCCACTATGCCCCCTCACCCGCCTGCTCCCTGCACCTGTTTGCAGTGTTTGTTGTTGTCCATGCAGGGCAGTGCTTGGTCTGGATAGCCATCGATGTCTGTGTCAGTCCCACATACGTTCCCATTCCCAGCCCAGCCCACGTTACACTAGGGCAACACAAAGGGTAGGAGCTAGCAGTTTGGTCTGGCTCCCCTCCTCCCTCTATTTTCCCTGCTTCAGGTTCTATTCTCCCCACCAACCAGTTCCTGGGCTCAGGCCCACCTCTCTCCTGTGAAGGCCTGCAACCCAGGCCCTAAACATAGCCCTACCCCTTTCCCCAGACTCTCCCTTTTCCTTCCATGCCTGAGGCCTAGCTTACCTGGCAGGACACTGCACCATTGCGTTCAAAGAGACAATGAGCATGGATGTGGCAGGGACTGTGGGCTGGGCTGTGGCAGGTCCGGGCTGGGAGGCAGCCCTGGCTCTGGTTGCCCAGGAAACCCAGGCGGCAGGGACCACACTTGAAAGAGCCCTAAGAGTGGAGAGGCAGCATCTTAGGAACGAGGGTGAGCCCACCAGGCACCCAGGACCAGCATTGCCCCACCTGCGGGGTGTGGGCTGGGCACTCGGCTATGCCAGGCATATCAGTATCTCCTTTAGGTTCTCATGACAGCCTTTCAGGGTGGATAATAGCCTTGGTTTTCAGATGAGGAAGCTGAGGCTCGGAAAAGTTAAATAACCTGCCAAAGAGCTAGCAAGAGGCAAATCAGTATTCCAAACCAAGTCCATGTGAACACCTAATCTGTGTAGTGTCCTGGGGAGGAGGAAAGGCAGCAGGAAATTTGAAGGTAAGAAGGGGAAAGGGTTGGGGTTTTACCATTCCCACCACCCCAGAATACACTCAGGGTATTCAGCTCACCACAGTGTTGGTGCAGATGGAGTTTGGGTCACAGCCACCATTGTTGCCATCGTTGCATTCATCGATGTCATTGCAGACCTGAAGGGGCAGACTTTGGGTGGAACCAGACCTATGGTGGGTCTCCTCAGATACAGCAGAGGACACTGGTATGGCCTTATCTGTGAACATCAACATTAAGCCCAGACCCAAAGCCAATGCAAAGCCATCCATGTCCCATTCATCACAAGGGTCCCATGTCTAACCCAGAAGCCCCTGGCCTCTACAAGGCCAAGATCCCTTGTCCACACACACTACCCAGTCTGACCTGTTTGCTGGCCCGGGCATAGTCAATGCCCACACCAGACACCTGTGTGCCCTTGTACCCTCGAGGACAGGCCTCACAGTGGAAGCCGGGCATGGTGTTGATGCAGCTGGAGCCCGGGAAACAGGGGTCAGCGTGAACACACTGGGGACCAAATGAGAAGGCAGAGGTCAGGCCACCCTCTGGGAAACTCAGGCCCCTGCCTGTGATCCATGAACCATTGCTCCAGGTCTCCCCTTTGTACAGCTCTCCCCCGCCACACAACCGCCTTGTGCTCCTGGTCCCCACCCCGCTTCCCTCGGGGTTCCCTCTCTCCCTCCCCATGCGCCTGGTCGCCATCTCAAGCCTCCCCTGCAGTTTCCCCAGCTCCTTCCCTGTGTGGCCTTCAGTCTTTGCCCCAGGCCTTCTGTCTCTCCCATCTTGCATTTCTCTTCTTGCCTCTGACCTCTCCTAAACTCCAAATTCCTCTTCTCTGGACCAGCATTTATCCCACCCTCTTGGGCTCTTCCTGACATCCTCACCCCAGTTTTCTGTACCCTTCTGGGCACTGCCCTCCCCCACCTCATTGATGTCACTGCAGTGGGTGCCGTTGCCCTGTAGGCCGGGGGGACAGGGCCCACAGCGGTAGCCTGGGTACTCGTATACTTCCATGCAGTCCACGCCTCGGAAGCAGGGATTGGGGCTGCAGTGGGAACGCTGCTCATGGAAGCCTGAGGGGTGGACACAGTCAGAGCTACCCGGTGGTCACTATTTAAGCCACGAGAAGGGAAAGCCAAAGCCATTGGGTAGGGAATGTGGCACTATCATCTGGAGCCTCCCCTGCTCTCCCACTCACCGCACACCTGACACTCCATAATGGTGTTTCGGATCAGGGACATTTCCTTCACCTGGAGAAGGATGGGAAGGAGTCAGCACTTGACATCTGCCACCCCACCCCAGAATCAGTGCCACCCTTCACCGGCCCACCCAAACCTGGTCTCGTATATCATCCCGCAGCTCCACCAGGATCTGGTTGAAGAGGGTGAGTTGGGTGACCAGCGCCTTGGTCTGCTCCCCTGTCAGGACCCAGGGTGTGAGGGGCTCAGTACTGGAGCACCAGTCCTGGGCCCTCCATGGGCAATAAGCCGGCACATGCCACGGCTGCCCACCTCTGCCTTTAAACCTACTACATTCCTGACTGAAGAGGACTTAGTTTCAGGCAGCTGCCAGAGCCTGGGGCCTCCTCCCCCGTCCCTGCTTCCGCTTCAGTGTGGCCTACTCACCTAGAATGGAGTGCAGTGCATTGGTCACTGGAGAGGAGAAGAAAACATAGTCAGAGGGGTGAGTTGAAGTGAAGAGAGGCCTGGCTGGTGAGGAGGAAGAAGGAAGGTGAGGACAGGGACAGGGCTGGAGCCCCAGAATAAAGATGGGGTGCTGGATACTAGGAGGGTAGAGCTGGCAGACAAGCAGTGCCAGCTCCTTCCACAGGGCAAAAGGCCCTCTAAGGGAGTTGCTTCACAGGAAGTCAAAACCCAAATCCTCCTGGTTCCTAGGCATGGTAGTGGCAGGAGGGATGGGCCCAAAGCAGGGCCAGGGCCCCAGTACATCCCATTCCCTTTTTTTTTTTTTTTTTTTTTTTTTGAGACAGAGTCTTGCTCTGTTGCCCAGGCTAGAATGCAGTGGCACGATCTCAGCTCACCACAACCTCCACCTCCCGGGTTCAAGCGACTCTCCTGCCTCCACCTCCCAAGTAACTGGACTACAGGTACCCACTACCATGCCCAGCTAATTTTTTGTATTTCTTAGTAGAGATGAGGTTTCACCATGTTGGCCAGGCTGGTCTTGAACTCCTGACCTTGAGTGATCAGCCCACCTCAGCCCGCCAAAGTGCTGGGATTACAGGTGTGAGCCACCACACCCAGCCATCCCATTCCCTTCTTCAAGAGCTCTCCCTCAAGTATCTGGGGAGGTTTTATTTAGGTGAGAGCTTCTGAACATCCCTGTCAGAGAGAGCAGGCAGATGGGCAATGCTCAGAGAAATTGCTAGTGACAGCTGCCAGTGGGAACTATAAAAGACTCGAGACCAGGTCGTGCACGGTGGCTCACGCCTATAATCCCAGCACTTTGAGAGGCCAAGGTAGGTGGATCACTTGAGATTAGGTGTTCAAGACCAGCCTGGCCAATGTGGTGAAACCCCATCTCTACTAAAAATACAAAAATTAGCCGGGTATGGTGGTGGGCGCCTGTAATCCCAGCTACTTGGGAGGCTGAGGCAGGAGAATCACTTGAACCCAGGAGGTGGAGATTGCAGTGACCCAGATTGCACCACTGCACTCCAGCCTGGGCAACAGAACAAGACTCCATCTCCAAAAAAAAAAAAAAAAAAATACTGGAGACCAGTATCTCTTGGTCAGCCAAGACCAAACAATTAACTAATTCCTCTCTTGGATCGCTTTTTTTTCTGGGATGGCTGTATTGGAGATTGTGGAGTCAGGTAAAAGATTTGGAATAACAGGGTTAGAAACCCTAGGAACGGGTGAGCCAAAGGAATGGGTTTTAATGGAGAGGGAGGTCAAGAAGACAGGAGTCACCAAAGGCCACAGGACCCATGGTCCAATGTCAGCAAACAAGTCTCTGTGTTACCTGCACTGTGGATGGACTCGTCCCCTTGGAATGGACACTCACTCAGGGCTCCTACCCGGGCCATGGACCCACCCAGAATAATTTTCATAGATTCCACAAAGCCCTGGGGGGATAGCAGCAGAGTAAGGTAGGAAGGTCTACCAACCCCTTCCCCAACTGGTGCAAACTCTATTTCCACAGAACTCAGAGGCTCCTCCCGGCTCACCTGCATCCTCAAATATGCCTTCTGTCCAGTCCTAATCTCCAGCCCATCGACCTCTGCTGGAGGAATGGGGGCCAGTGCTGGAAGGCCTGCATGTTGGTCACCCAGTTTGCAGTCCACATAGAGATGCAGAGCAGGGCTGGGTCTGGAGGGACCTCGGAGTCGCAGGAGAACTGTGTGTGTGCGACCATCGGCCAGGCCTGCTTGCTGTAGGTTCACGGCGTGGACTTTGCCATCCTCCCGCTGGTATCGCACCAGTACTGCCCAGGAGGGGAGATCAGTATGGGTGCTATCCCCTTCCCCCTGCCTCCCAGCTGAGCCTTGGATCAACTCTGCTGGATACCACATCTCTAGGGCCCCCATCCCTAATTCTACTATGTAGCTGTCAACACTTTGTATGTAATAGGTACACAATAAATGTTTTTGAAATTGGTTTAGAGGCCAAGCACAGTGACTCACACCTGTAATCCCAGCACTTTAGGGGGCCAAGGTGGGCAGATCACTTGAGGTCAGGAGTTCGAGAACAACCTGGTCAACATGGTGAAACCCTATTTCTACTAAAAGTACAAAAGTTTGCCAGGCGTGGTGGTGGGCACCTGTAGTCTCAGCTACTCAGGAGGCTAAGATAGAATCACTTGAACCCAGGAGGTGGAGGTTGCAGTGAGCTGAGATTGTACCACTGCACTCCAGGCTAGGTAACAAAGCAAGACTCCGTTGGAAAACATAATTGGTTTAGAGACAAATATTTTCTTAGTATTCATTGGTATCAGATGACTCTATCCTATCCTATGGTGACAGCTGGTTCTGTGGCCACTGAACTGTTCCAGGGATCTGAAAGACCTTTCTATACCACCGCTGAGGCACAGAGACATGCCTCACCTCTCTCCAAGCATCCCCAAGTACAACCTCCCATCCCTACAAATATCAGGAGTCAAGCCTCACCCTATTGTTTGGTACATGGCCTCTTGAAGCACCTTGTAAGCACCCCATACCAGGCGACCCTGATGTCTGGGCACAGCCTGATGGGACCTTGGTCCCCAGTGGAGGCCAAGGAGAATGAGGAAGCACTTGTGAAGTAGGGATGAGGGATAATGCTTAAAAGAGGTCACCATTGCAGGAAAGGAGATGCCCACCAGTCACCTTTGTTGATCTTGCCTACAACAGAGGCCTCCAGCCATCGCGTGTTGTCTTGGCGAGAATAGAGGCCAAAGAGGACACCACCCTGCTTGGGGGGCAGGCGGAAGGTGGACAAGAGGTAGATGTCCCCAGCAGTGAGCAGGGCTGTCCGGATCTTCTCTGCCACAGCTACCATCTGCCGAGACTCGCCCACAGTCAGCAGGTCAATTACTGGTCAGGCAGGGGTTATCAAGGTTAGAGAATGGGATCAAATGCTAAGGTATGCCCTCCCCTGAGCCCACATCACCCCCTACTCCCATCACCAGGCAGTGTTAATCACCTCAAAATTCAACCCTTGGCTGGGCACACTGGCTCGCACCTGTAATCCCAGCACTTTGGGAGGCTGAGGCAGGTGGATCGCCTAAGGTCAGGAGTTTGAGACCAGCCTGACCAACATGGTGAAACCCCATCTCTACTAAAAATACAAAAACAACAACAAAAACTCGCCGGGAATGGTGGCGGGCGCCTGTAATCCCAGCTACTCAGGAGGCTGGGGCAGGAGACTCGCTTGAACCTGGGAGGCGGAGGTTGCAGTGAGCCGAGATCACGCCACTGCACTCCAGCCTGGGCAACAAGAGTGAAACTCCGTCTCAAAAAAACAAAACAAAACAAAACCTCAACTCTTGTTGCTCTCAGAAGACAGAGCCACTGTGCCTTCCTTTCCCCATTATTGCCTATTACCACCTTCTGGGAACCTGCAGGTTTGAGGCTCACTTTGAAACACAAATAGCACCCCACAAATTTGAGATGCCCCCACCAGGTGGCGCAAAGGAGATGCTGTGCTGATTCTCCTCAGGAGTGGCACCTGGTTCCCACACGCAGAAATGGGAGGCAGTTTCTCTTTCCATTCCTGGATTTGGCTCGTTCCACACCCTAGTTCCCCTCCTTCCATCCTAGGGTCACAGCACACTCGCTCTGGACAAGAACAGTTGCCCACTGAGGGCTCTGACCCTCCCACCATCTGGGCTATCTCCCACGGGAATGTAGGACCCAGCTCCTCTGCCTCCTGTGTCCTGGCCAATCTGTGGTTTTCCCTCCAGCCAGTAAAGAATCTATGCCTGTGTCATCTGCTCCAGCTACCTCTCCCACATCCATTGGCCCATCCCACCACCAGACCTCCGGGAGAGCCCAGGCTTCTTGGTCCCCACCCCCGCCCTATCCTTGGGCAGCCAGGAGCCCAGAGGGACGAAGCCCAGGGACCTACAGTATGCCCACCTTCAGGCTGCTCTCCCAGACCCCAGGGTGCCTACAGATACTCAGGAACCACCCCAGCCAGGCAGCCTGAGCATCCAGTTCCTGAGTCCTCTGCCCTGGCCTCATGCCTGACCCTGGCCCGTTCCAACTCCCCCACTACTCTGTGGTGCCCACTCCTGTCCACCAGGCCATAATTTCACGAACCCTAGGCAGTCTAACGTTTTCCTCTGGCTCAATTTCTAGACTCTTCCCTCTCCCTTTGCCCACATGCTCTCTGCTGCTTGGGTTGAGGGAAAATGGGGAAGACACAGAGAGCGGTCTAAGAGGATGGAGACAGGCTTACCCTGCAGGTCCTGACTGGCAGATGCGAAAGAGCAAAGGAGGAGAAGAGCCAGGGCCCCCCGAAGTTCCTGCGTCTCCATGCCTTTCAGCCGGCTCACTACCCCTGGCAGGCAGGCAGCTGGGAGGGGAAAAGGCTAGGCGGAGAGAGCAGGAGCCGGGGGGCGGAGGGACAGAGTTGGAGGGGGGGCCAGCAGGCGGGTGAGGGGGGGCTGAAACAAAGAGCTGCCAATCACCCTGGAGGCATCATCAGCTCTGGGAACCAGGGGCACTGGGAAAGAATCCTGGAGGCCTCCCTGCCTTCTACCTCTCCTTAATGATCCTTCCCCAGGTGCCTCCCTCTCCGCAGTCATCACATTGTTGGGGGTCTCCGCACACAGCACTACCGAATGCTACTGTTTTCTGGAAGCCACGATTGTGGAAGGCAAGAACCCCTGGCAGGGGCAGTGCTAGACAGTGGGCATTATTCCACAGCTGGCAGGAAAGGATGCCAAGGGAGTGGCCGAAACTAGCTTGCTATAGTGCCCAGGGATGCCCACATGGCATGAAGTTAGATGTTCTGGCTCAGCAAGTGCTCTTTATTAGGGTGAGGGTCCCCTGATACGTGCCTGTTTCTCCATTTTCCCTCATTCCTAGGAAAGCTTGGGAGTCTGGAAGCGTCTGATGGGAACTGAAGGGAGAATCTAAAGCAGTAGTGAGGTCGGAGTGAAGAAACCAGGAAAGAGGAAAGGGACACCAGGGACAGGCGTAGAAGACCAGGGGGACACGCGAGGAGCCAAGGACCAGACTGTGGAACATTGTGGGTACTGGCGGACGGGCCGTGACCCGGATGAAGCAGAGGGGCGCCGGAGTTCCCGTTACCTAAGCAACAGCCTGCGAGCCGCTCTTCCCCTCCCCCACCCAAGCCCCAGCCCGGCCTTGCCTCCGGCCGCCGCCACCGCCCCTGTTTTGTTTCCATGGCGACAGGCGGCGCAGGGCCCGCTCCAAACATAACGCGCTGTGGAAAACATGCTGCTCGGGGGACCCCCCCGCAGTCCCCGCTCGGGCACGAGCCCCAAGGGGCCCCGGAGCAGTACAGGCCACGTGCAGTTTGGCAAGAGCCCTCAGACCTGGCCCAGGCGCACAAGACCCCGCTCTCCTGAGCCTGCCGCGCCTTCAGGGGCTCGGGCTTCACTCAGCCGAGGCGCCGTGACTCGCCGAGGCGCGCCGGGCGGACAGCGCTGTCCCGCTAGCGCTGTCCCGCTACGTGGGCCACCTCTGGATGGGCCGGCGGCCGCCCTGCCCGGAGGCCCGCGGCCCAGTCCCCCGCAGTTCAGCTGCCAGCCGGACCAGAAGAAGCCTCGCCTCCCCGGGGACCTCCCCCGGTCCCCTGACCGCAACTACCAGAGGGGCGGTGGTGGGGGGCGGGTCCGTGCAGGGCAGGGCAGGAGCACACAAGGAAGTGTTTCCGGGACAGAGGGCGGGCAAGATGGCGGCGCCCATGGAGCTGTTCTGCTGGTCAGGGGGTTGGGGGCTGCCGTCAGTGGACCTGGACAGCCTTGCCGTGCTGGTGAGGGGTGGCGCTGGCGCACTCTGTTGTGCCCTGATGACTAGGGAGGGGGCCGAACTAGCCAGGCATCCAAACTTTGCCGGGCTACTCAGCACGGGCGCAGTGGGGGAAACTGAGGCAGTCAAAGATGTGGGCTCAATGCCCTATGCTGTAGATTTCTAGGCTTAATGCAGCAATGAAAAGAAGCCTGGTTGGGAGTTCAGGTGATGGGTTCTAGTCCTTGCTCATCCACTCACTGGCTGTGTGACCTTGCGGAGATCCTTTCTCTTTGGGCGTTTTTTCTCCATTCGCAGGTTTACTAGGCAGGACTCTCTCAGAGACCCACTCTAGCTTGGAATTCCTGCCTTCTCCTCAGCCCCCTTTTCCTCTTCCTCCTCACTTAACAGCATTTACTGAGCCTATTGTTTGTTGGACCAAACGACTCACAGCCAGGCTTTGTTGAAAGAGCTTAGCAATCAGACAGACTTCGTTTGCTTGATTTATTCATTGACTCCTTGCTTTAAAGAGCATCTATTAGATTTCTTCCAAATACTAAATATTGCCATGCAAAGATGAATAAAATATATTCCCTCCCTTTGAGTTTACAGAAAGGCAGATAGGTAAGCAAATAAATATAGTAAAATATTCACGTATAAGTTAAAGTAGGAACAGATCATAGATACTGCCAAAGAGAAGGGCATGGTCAGTGCTTCCAAGAAGAGGGATACTGGTTAGGAAAAGCTTCTGAGGATAGATGTCCACCAGGTAGATGGCAAGGAAGGAGAAAGAGGAAAGGATTTTCCTGGCTGACCTGTAATCACGGACATGTCTGTAATCTCTCTGAGCCCTGTGTTGCCCATTTGCAAATAGAAATGGTGGTGACTCCCCCTTTTTTTCCCAAGACTAAGATACTAAGTATAGGGAATGGCACATAAGGTATTCAATAAATGTTATTTCTCTTCTTGATACTGCTGTGGGGGCCATGGCCCTGCCTTTCTGACTTCTGCTTCCTTCCCTGCAGACCTATGCCAGATTTACTGGTGCACCACTGAAGGTACACAAGATCAGCAACCCCTGGCGGAGCCCTTCAGGTACCCAGTGTCCCTTGGGGGTAAGGAAGGGTATGTACAAGGGGAGAAGCAGGAGATAGGTAGGAATGTGTTGCAACTATGTATGACTAGGCAGCTAAGGGTCTGGTTGGTAGGTGTACTTCTCTCTCAATATCAGGAACTCTGCCTGCCCTTCGGACCAGTCATGGAGAGGTCATCTCAGTTCCACACAAGATCATCACCCACCTTCGAAAAGAGGTAGGTGACATGGATAGAGGGGGCTGCCAGTAAGAGAAGTTCAGTCAATTCTGTACAATACACATTTATTGAGCACCAGATATATGCCATGCTAGATGGAGGTGACCCAGAGCATCAAGGAGCAATAATCTGCTGGCGGAGACACACACAGTGTTACTGTCATGTATTCAAGCAGTCAGCAAGAGATGAAGCTCAGGGCACTGTGGGGATATCCAGAGGCACAGTACCTTCTGCCTGTCAGGCAGGGAGGGAGAGGAGCACAGGCTGAAGGAGAGTAGCAGACAGCAGTTGGCCTCTGATGGTGGCACTGGAGAGAGATTTCTAAGGGCCACTTCCCTGTTTCCAGGGACTAGGTTGGGCTAGATATGGGGCTCAGGACGAACAAGGCTTACAGCCAGTTTGGAGAAGATGAAAGAGCATTACTAGAGGAGTGGGGAGGCCTAGGCTATGCTCTTTACTCTGCCATCGACTATGTGATCTTGGGCAGGCCACATAACCTGTCAGGGCTGGCACTCCCTTATTTGTAAAACTAGAGGGCTGGGCCAGCATGTTTTCCAAGGGTTCTTCTAGCATTGATGGTCAGGTTCCAAGAGGGAACACAGTGTCAGAAGTGGGACGCTCTTCCTCATTTCTAATTTCCCAAAGGTTAAGGACCTGGGGAATTAATTGAGAAGCCTGAAAAGAGAGGATCCAGATAAAAGACAAAGTTCCTGGCAGGGCCAGGGCCACTGCCCTAATTCCTTAGGTGTGAACAGAGCTTTTCCAGTTTCCAAAGTATTCTAAATTACTTCCTAACACAGGGGCATTGAGAGAAAGAGATTCTTACCCCCATTCCACACAGGAGAAACTGAGGCTCAGGGAGATTTAAGGATCATGCTGAAGAGATTATCTGGGGACAAAGTTTACTCAGGATGTGGAGGGGGATGCTGAGGAGCAGGGACTGGAGCCTGGGAAGGTAGGGCAGGCTGAGACCTGGGGGTATGGGTGGAATGTGTATGTGGTAGTGGTGTCTGGGCCATGGAATGAAGTGGAATAAATAGCCAAAAGCTGGGCACTGAGGGAACCAGCTGGGGGGCCCTGGGCGTGGGTTCCCTGGATCCAGGGAGTGTGAGGATGGCTTTCCCTGGTTCCTGAGGCATGGACCAAGTCCCAGCCTGCATCTGAGCTCCGCTGTGCTAGCTTTGTGGTGTCTGGGTCGGGGAAGTTACTGTTAGAAAGCTGCCGTCAGCAGGCGTCCTTCCAGCTTTCCATGGAATTTCTGGGAGCTGCTCCTAGTTTGTGGCCGAGACTTCCCTCCTTCCCCACATTGGGCGCTGGACCTTGACGGCCAGCAGGCTCCAAGGCCCAGGCTTTTTGCCAACAGCAACAGGCTACTGGCTGGGCCCAGGCAAGGGAGCCTTGGTAGGAAAAGTTCCTTGCTTTACCTCCACTACACTCAGAGGCCAGTGAGGGGGGTACCAGACAGGACTCCTTCCTCCCTGGTGAAGTGCCCCTGCAGCCCCCCAGTGTCCACACCATGGATATTTCCTCCACAGAAGTACAATGCTGATTATGATCTGTCAGCTCGGCAAGGGGCAGACACCCTGGCCTTCATGTCTCTCCTGGAGGAGAAGTTGCTGCCGGTGCTGGTGAGTGTGCCCAGACCTCCCAGCATCCATGGTTAGCAGGGGAGGGGTCGGGCACACATAGACCCACACAGAGACTCAGGACAGCATGGGGGTCAGAAGCCCACCCTGAATCAGACAGGTACACTGGCTCAGACCTGCCTATTTCTTCCTGCCTACCCAATCCAGGTACATACTTTCTGGATAGACACCAAAAACTATGTGGAAGTGACCCGGAAGTGGTATGCAGAGGCTATGCCCTTTCCCCTCAACTTCTTCCTGCCTGGCCGCATGCAGCGGCAGTACATGGAACGGCTAGAGCTGCTGAGTGGGGAGCACATGCCTGAGGACGAGGAAGAGCTGGAGAAGGAGGTAGCTCTGAGACCGGGGGCTGTTGTATGAGATGAGCCCCAAGGATGCTGGCCAGGAATGGGAGTGCTTAGGTGGGGAGGTGGAACTGTTCCTGCAGCTGCAAGCCTACCTGTGTCGTCCCTACAGCTGTACCGAGAGGCTCGGGAGTGTCTGACCCTGCTCTCTCAGCGTCTGGGTTCTCAAAAGTTCTTCTTTGGAGATGCGTGAGTCTGACTCCAAGAGGGTAATGGGTGGCTTGGAAGAAGATACAGGTTCAGATGGAGCAGCTGGAGCTGGGGCTGGGGTGGGCTCAGGCTCTGGACAGGAGGTCCTTGGGACAGATACTGGTCCTGCTGCCAGTGGGGCTGTGTGTGGGGCCAGAGCCTTCTCAAAGGTACAAAAGGGTAGGGTGGGAGGGCAGCCAGGCACAGGAGGGGCCTGAAGAGCTGTGGGGCACTGAATGTGCCCTTTATGCAGCCCTGGGATAGAGCCCTATTCAGGGCCAGGCTGGCGCCACCTGGGGATCTCTCCCAATACCAGGTCTAGAACTGTGTCTGTCAGCCCCTGATAGCCGCCTGCTGCCCAGAGCCCACCTCCCAGGGCTGACTCTTCCTCCAGCTCCATCTTTACCCCTTCTGCCCCAGTGCCTCATCATCCCACCCTTCTCTCTCTGCTCCAGCCCTGCCTCCTTGGACGCCTTCGTCTTTAGCTACTTGGCCCTGCTGCTACAGGCAAGCTGCCCAGTGGGAAGCTACCCAGGCCCACCTGCGAGGCTCCCCCGCCTCTATGCCTCTTCTTCCATCCACTCCAGTCTCTACTTCCCCTGGGATGGAGGTAGAGGCAGATGGGAGGAGGCAGCCCTGGGGAGAGTGGGAGATCGAGAACTAGTTCCCCTAACTCACCTTCCTTCCTTGACCCTCAGCTGAGGTACCACCACCACGCCAGACACCAGCAGGCCCAGAGCCTGAGGAGGCCTCATGCCCAGGCCAGGTCTTATCTGCTGGCAGTTCGCTTGCCACTGGTAAACTCACTTCCTCTGCTTCTGTCTCCATCCAATGGAGCAACGCCTGCTGGAGCCCCAGGCACCCGGGCCTGGGCATGGCTGAGGGAGGATAGAAGAAAGGAATGATTGTCCTCACGCTCCCAGGACTGGTTTCTCTCTAGTACGCTGCCAAGAGGCCCCGTGCCTCCTCTTTGTTGGTACAGCCGGACACGAGTGCTGCCCCCAGAATAAAGCCACTCACGCTGACTGGGCTCAAACATTTTCTCCTTTAAGAGCTGCCATTTTTCCTGGCTAGTCCCACAGGAACCATCTGGCTGCCTGGGCACACCTGCTGCTGCTTTAAGGCTTCCGCCCTGGTCACTGACACTGCTGCTCCACCGTGGTCCATCTCAAACCGTCCTCAGATTTTGGAGGCCCCAAGCTTGCCCTAAGTCTCTTCTTTTCCTTACCCTCACCCCTCATCTTGTGTTTGTACGACAGTGAGCTCCTCTGAGCCTGGGCCCAGGCCCAGTTTTCCCAAAGCAGGCAGCACACAGTGCGTTCATAAGCATGGGGGCTGAGAGGACTACTGAAACTTACTGGTCTTTTTCTAGGGGCCTCCAGCCCTGGCACCACCTACAAAGAGAAAATGAATCACCCAAACCCTGCCCTTGGGCTTATGTCGCCCTGTAAGCTCCCCTGGCCCTGCTGTACCCTGCTTTAGCCACAGACAGCGTGTGAGCTGACTCTGTCCTTTTAATGCCCAGGCTGAGCTTGAGTATCCACTCCATCACTGCCGACGCCACAGGTAGGAGTGTGAATGGAGTAGCCAAGGTGAGATCGTCTCAGGAAGCCCACGGCAGAGTCAGATGTTAAGAGGCACATCCTTAGAGGAGCTAGGGAGTGGGAAGAGAAGCTAAGAGTGTGATCCTGCCCAGGCCCCGACCCACAACATCTTCAGCCCACCCGAACCCCTGTGCCCTCACTTGTTATGCAGCCACCGCGGCAAGTCATGGGATGCATCAGTGCCACTGTGTCCAGGTGGATTCTTCTGACTGGCAACCAGCCCCACTCTCTGGGAGCCCTCAGGAATGAACTTGCTGAATGTGGGAACAGATGGTCAGTCCCTCAAGGGTACCGCCCATGAAACCTTCATCTAGAAGTCACTTACCCGCATACCCCACATAACTCCTGCAGAAGCTCTGCCTGGGTCTCTAGACCTGGAGCCATGCTGCTGGGCACGGCCACTGCTTTCTACATGGCATCCAGCCTCAGGCACTGGGGTTGTCTGTTGCTACCTAGTCACTTCCTCCTCCATGAATTTTCAAAGGGATGGGTGTGCCTCTCCCGAGGTTCACCTAAACACCTTCCTGCTCCCTCATGGTGTAGAGTGATGTAAGCCATCTGATGTAGGAGATGATAAGCCCTGATATGGAGATAGATTTCGCCCTCCACTCACCTGAAGTGACCAAGGTGGTGGAGTGTGGGCTGTTTGTAAGCGCGTGTCCTTGGTGATGTCTACAATGACAGGACTGTCGCCAAAAGGTACGCACCCAGTGGGTCCTCCTTCAGGGTTCAGGCGGGGTTCACGTCGGTCCAGCCGACCACATGGTACAGGAGGTTCTAGGAGTGAGGACAAAGGCAAAGACAAAGGCTCAATACAGAGGTCCCCAGAGACTGTAGAGTAAAGGTCACATGAGGAGAAGTGGCTGTGGGTAAGCTCAGCCTGTGAGGAGCACATTCATAGCTGCTAGGAGTTGGGGGTGTGAAGATGAGCATCTCGAGGGGTGCTGAAGTCACAGAGGCAGGTGCAAGTGCGTCCAGTATTATTTACCAAAGGGCTATGAGCCGGGCATGGTGGCTCACGCCTGCAATCCCAAGTAGCTTTGGGAGGCTGAGGTGGGCAGATCACAAGGTCAGGAGATCGAGACCATCCTGGCTAACACGGTGAAACCCTGTCCTCTACTAAAAATACAAAAAATTAGCCGATCGTGGTGGCAGGCTGTAGTCCCAGCTACTTGGGTGGCTCGAGGCAGAAGAATATGACGTGAACCGGGCGCCAGAGCTTGCAATGAGCCGAGATCGTGCCACTGCACCTCCCAGCCTGGGTGACAGAGCCAAACTTTGTCTCAAAAAAAAAAAAAAGGGGAGCAGTAGGGTGTGCAGACCTGTGAAGGAGAAAGGCAAGACAAGGGAATCATAGTTCCCCAGTTGCCCAAAAAGGGCAGGTAGCTGGGAAAGCTGGACAGGAAAGGTCTGTCAGTCTTTGGAGTGAGACTACTAAAAGGAGTCTGAGGTGTACTTACTTGCTTTGCATGAAGGCGAACTGGGGTGAGAAACTACCGTGATGATGTGGCTATGCTGTATCCCTCGATCCCAGGAGCCTAGCCGCACACTCTGCTCCCAGAACTTGGAGCCCACACAGGCCTCTGAGGCCAAGAGCATGGTGTTGGGGAACAGGCGGTGTCTCCTAGGGTGGCTTTGGCTGGAGCAGAAAGTCCAGGTACCAATGTACAGCAATGCCATGAAACCTGCTTACTGCCTCTGGGTCTGTCAGTACACAAAGGAAGAGCACGGTGACCCTGGGCCTTGCACACAGTCTTCTGGAACTTTCAATTCCTCTTGTAGGAATTCTGTGTGGGTGATGGAAGAGGAGTGCAGCTAGAGGTTTGGGGAGATATTTTTTTGTTTTTTTGAGACGGGATATCCTTGCCCCATCACTCAGGCTGGAGTACAGTGGCACAATCACAGCTCACTGCAGCCTTGACTTCTGAGGTCAATTTGATCCTCCCGCGTTAGCCTCCTGAGTAGCTGGGACTACGCCGTTGCCACACCCGGCTAATTTGTGTGTGTGTGTGTATACATATATAGTTTTTGGTTTTTTTGTAGAGATGGGATTTCACCATGTTTCCCAGGCTGGTCTTGAATTTCTTAGGTTCAAGTGATCCACCACCTTGGCCTCCCAAAGTGCTGAGATTACAGACACTGACCGCGCCCGAGCCTAGAGGTTTTTTTTTTTTTTTTTTTTTTTGAGATGGAGTCTCAGTCGCCCAGACTGGAGTGCAGTGGCACAATCTCATCTCACCACAACGCCGCCATCTCCGCAGGTTCAGCTGATTCTCCTCTCAGCCTCCCGAGTAGCTGGGATTACAGGCACCCACCATCATGCCCAGATAATTTTTTTTTTTTTTAATTTTAGTAGAGACAGGGTTTCAACACGTTGGCCAGGCTGGTCTTAAACTCCTGACCTCAGGTGATCCGCCCGCCTCGGCTTCCCAAAGTGCTGGGGTTACATGGGTAGGCCACTCGCCTGGCCCTAGAAGGTTTAAAGTGACAACTGTGGGATCCATGTGTGGCGCCCTGGAGGTCAGGGAATGGTGCTCTAGGAATCCACAGTTGGGTAGAAATTGCTCTAGGATTTGGGAGCCAGTCATTTTGGAGGATAGATTTGAAGGAGTCACTGGAGCACCAAGATCTGGAGCCTTGCACCTTGCCCAGTGGGGCGGCAGCAGCGTTGGGTCATCCCGCGCCCAGGCAGGCGGACATTGTGGTGAGTACTGTTGGCGAGGTAGGACCACAAGTCACCCGGGCAATAAAGTCTCGCTGATGTTCAGGGGTGAAGCCCAGGCACTGGAAGGGGTATCACTCAATAGCCCAGCAGAGGCTCATTTTCAGCTGTCACTGCAGAACTGTAGCAATATAAACATAGGCATCCAGGAACCTGGCAAGAAAAGTCATGAGTGATCCAGCCAGAAGGTGAAGCGAATGGCTGGTGTGTTGGCTCACGCCTGTAATCCCAGCACTTTGGGAAGGCTAGTGGTAAGATCACTTGAGGTCAGAGGATGAAAGAACAGCCTGCCCAGCATAGTAAGCCCCGTCTCTTTAAAACAGAAAAATTAGCTGGGCATGGTGGCAGGCGCCTGTAATCCCAGCTACTTGGAAGGCTGAGGCAGGAGAATAGCTTGAACTCGAGAGGCAGAGGTTACAGTGAGCAAAGAGATGTGGCACTCCAACCTGGGTGACAGAGAGACTCCTCAGAAAAAAAAAAAAAAGAAGAAAAGAAGGCTGAGCCAGACCGAGGAAGAACAAGGAAGCCTGATGGAGTGGGCAAGATTGACAGGCCCAAATCTGAAAGGCCCAGAAGGTAGAAAGGTGAGCTGAGGAGAGGCAGATCTGGAAGTGGAGATGAGGTTGAGGATTGGACAGATCGGCATGACCAAAGGGAGGCCAGTCTGATCCCACAGCCTTGCTGATCCATACTTCTAAGTATCTGGCCCAGGTCTGGTGGTAGATGTCTCAGGCTGTCCAGCCGAGTGACCCCTTCCCATTCCGCTCCATTGGTCTTGAGCCAAGTGGGGGATGTCAGGGCTGGCAAGGAGTGAAAGCAGGGCTGGAGCCAATTGGAGCTCAGTGAATCAAGGTATCTAAAGAACAAAGGTAGTGAAGAGAGAAGCACAGAGTTGGAGACACATACTAGCCCAACCAGTGCATCCGGTTCAGCCATCAGCCCCCACCCTCCACCCCCAGGACAAAACTAGAGAGGACAAACGTCTCTACAAGCAGACCTACCTACGGCTTCTCAACCCCCAGACATCAGGGCCATCAGGGCCACAGAAAAAGCTAGAATGCCTACCTTGAGCTTGGTATCTTCCTCTGGGAGGCTGAAGTTGTACAACTGGGGAAATCATCAGGGGAGTATCTGCATAGGTGTAGGTGCGGATGGAGAAGTCACAATAGCCATGGGTACACGGATGATGTTATATCCGATTCCTACAGAAAGGATGATCAAGATACTTATTGATCTGAGTCAATAGGAAGTATGGACTCTGCTTATCACTTGTCAGTCCTAATAGTGTCTGAGTCAGGGCCAAAGGGAACTTGGGCTCTGGAGTTGGAACCTGTGGAGGCTGGCACCTGGGTGAAACAGAGCCTTTCTGAGCCAGTCCATAATAGTTAGCAGATGTCACTTAGAAATCTTATTTCAGAGGGCATTAAAACAGAACCAAATGTCAGGGATGGGCAGAAATCAGAGTCCAAAGAAGGGTAAAGAAAGTGTTGGCTCATGCCTGTAATCCTAGCACTTTGGGAGGCTGAGGCGGGCAGATCACAAGGTCAGAAGTTTGCTATCGCCTGGCCAACATAGTGAAACCCCGTCTCTACTAAAAATACAAAAAATGAGCCGGGCATGGTGGCAGGCACCTATAATCCCAGGTGCTCGGGAGGCTGAGACAGAGTCCATGAACCCAGGAGGTGGAGGTTGCAGTGGGCAGGCGGCGGCCGAGGTGTGCCAGCTGAACTCCAGCCTGGGCAACAATGTGAGACTCTTTCTCAAAAAAAAGAAGCGTGTTAGCTGGGCTCGGTGGCTCACATCTGTAATCCCAGCATTTTGGGAGGCCAAGGCAGGTGGATCATTTGAGGTCAGGAGTTGAAGCCTAGCCTGGTCAACATACAGTGAAACCCTGTCTCTACTAAAAATACAAAAATTAGCCAGGTGGTAGTGGCCCATGCCTATAATTCCAGCTACTCAGGAAGCTGAGGCAGGAGAATCACCATAGCCTGGGAGGCAGAGGTTGCATAGCGGTGGAGATCAATGCCTCTGCACTCCTGTCTTGGCGACAGAGTGAGCAGAGTGAGATTGTGTCTCAAAAAATTAAAAATAAAAAAAAAAGTGTCAATGGCGCTATGTCACCTTGTCCCCTTCCTCCTCACCTTCTTCAGAAATCACGATTTAAGTAGCAAATTTTTGGAGCGGGAGTGACAGGGCAAGGATGTTGAGAGCAGCAGCGTCTGTCATGGCCCCTCCAAATCCCTTCACTTTCTGGAACTTCTGTTCTGGCTGCAGGAGTCAGTAGCAGGCCTGAGGACATCCACAGGGGAATAAGGGTGTCAGTGCCCAGGGAAACTCCATGGTGATCACTGACACCATTTGCCTCTAGGAGGACCCAGCCTGGCCAGTGAGGGTGTAATGGTGCCTGTTCCGTGCAGATTAGCCTGGATGGTCCCAGTACTCATCCATCCGTCGCCCTGCGTATACTCTCATAAGCGGCTGAAGGTGCCGGGGCAGGAAGGTCAGGGCTCAAAGAGTCACAGTATGTGGCATTGCAGACACAGACCACCGAGCTGTAGCCCAGAGAAGCTTTTAGGGATACAGGGCGGGCACCTGGGAAGGAGGGAGTACAAGCAGAGTAGTCTGATGAAGACGTGGAGATGGACCAAATCACTAGGACAGACTGAACACGGTTTCAAATTCCTCACCCCTTGGCTTGGGAGCAGGGTTCACACCTATAATCTCAGCACTTCGGAGGCCAAGGTGGGCGGATCACACAAGTCAGGAGTTCGAGACCTGCCTTGCCAATGCCGGTGAAACCCCATCTCTACTAAAAATACAAAAATTAGCAGGGCATGGTGGTGGCCACCTGTAATCCCAGCTACTTGGGAGGCTGAAGCAAGAGAATCGCTTGAACCTGGGAGGCAGAGGTTGGAATGAGTGAGATCACACCCTGCCTCAGCCCAGGCAACAAGTGAACTCTGTCTCCAAAAGAAAAAAAAAAAACAAAATCCTCACCCCAAGAGTTGGTCTCAGTCACTCAAAAGGATTTGTGAGCACCTATTAAAGTCTGCCAGAGTACTGGAAGGCTGAGACTACAAGGCAGAAGGGAGCCTCTGTGCTACCTCGCCACTGCCTTGACTCACCTGAATCACCCATGACACTGCCTGAGTAAAGCAATCCTGTAGGGCTAGCGCCATGATGCTTACCCTACCCGAAGGCTTGGGACATTCCTGAGGACAGAATGAGAGTGGCTGAAAAGCAGGCCCTCTCCTCCCTCAGCTACTCTCCTGGGCAGAGTTTAGCTGCCTTTAGGTGCCCTTGGCCTAGTCTCCCACATTCATTAGGACAAGGCCCACAGACACCTGGGTGCAGCTCTCCCTGCAGCAACTTTTCTGATAACCCAACTCTCTGCCCACCCCCAAATCCTGGGGGCTCCCACCACTCTTTCCCAGCCATTTCAACTTCGGCCTCCCTCCATCTGTGCACCTTGCTCAAAGAGCCATGATGGCCCTGGATTCTCCAAAAGTCATTCACTGGAATTCAGTGCCAGATTCAAATGCCAGGATTCCAGAAGCACTGTGACAATGCTGATTGGGAGCTCTCTCTTACCTTTCTGGAAAACTCCATCACCTCAGGGTCATTGGATGAGGAGAAGACCACAGGGGTCCAGAGTCTCTCAAGGATAGAGGATCCACTAAACAAAAACAAGGATGCAGGTACCTGCCGTAGCTATAGGCACTAGGTTAGCCCTGCAAGTAATTCCGGCTTCCTGACATGGATGGGTCATGTGATGACTGGGAGCGTCACATGACACAGGAAGTGAGGCAATTGCAGGCATATTTCTAAAGGGCAATTGGCTTCCTCCCATCTGTTACAGATTATATGCGCTATAAAACTCTGGAGGGCATGTATGGGTGACAACTTTAGGAAGAGCCTAGAACACAGATTTGGGTGGAGAATGAGGTAGAGGCTTCTAAATCCCAGAGAATGGGAACCACAGCAGGCACACTGCTTTTTTGATAGAAATGTCAGAAAAGGTACAAATAAAGCTGATATGATTAAAAAAAAAAAAAAAAAAAAACTTCACTGTGCAAATACTGACAATACCGAGATGTTTAAGACATAGTCTTTGCCCTATAGAGGCGTGTGAGGCATGGAAGTCAGACACACAGATATTTACAGATAAAGACAGAAACGGTAACAGGTGTGCACGGAGAGCTCTCTGAGATGAGGAGGGACCATTCGTGGGTGGGGAATTATCTAGGGTGGCTTCACAGAGGAAAAAGTGAGGGGGCTTATTAGCGGGTCAAGTGCAGGGTGCAAGGAGGGTGGGACACCGGCAGTGGGATGACAGGACTGGAGGGAAGGAGTGGTTAGTGCGGCTCCTCTGCAGCGTCCTTTGTTTCATCATCAGATGCAGATGGTAATAACTGTTCTTCCTTTCTCACAGGACAGGGAGGTTTGTAAGTAGTTCAGAAACCAGAAAGTGTTGTACAAAGCCGTATCCTCAGTGGACACAAGGAGGAAGTTGTCGTGCTGTGGCCTCATAAACCACATCAAATGAGATTTAGCGGGAGTGGCACACACAGTCATGACCTGACTAACCCCAGCTCTCAGTCTATTTCCTTGCCTGGAAAATGGAGGCAATGCCACCACCTCAAAGGGTGGTTACTGCAGTCAGTGAGGTAAGTGCAGTGCCTGACCACCTGGTAGGCACCTGGGAACTACTTGTCTGCTGTTTGTATTTTTTTGTTGTTGTTGTTTTTGAGGCAGAGTCTCGCTCTGTTGCCCAGGCTGGAGTGCAGTGGCGTGATCTCGGCTCACTGCAACCTCCGCCTCCTGGGTTCGAGTGATTCTCCTGCCTCAGCCTCCCAAGTAGCTAGGATTACACGTGCCTGCCACCACGCTCAGCTAATTTTTTTATTTTTAGTAGAGACGGGGTTTTGCTGTGTTGACCAGGCTCGAACTCTGGACCGCAGGTGATCTGCCTGCCCTGGTATTTGAAAGTGCTAGGATTACAGGCATGAGCCACCGTGCTGGACCCCAGCCATCTTTTTTGTTCTTTAAATGACCTCAGTGAAGTCTTTCTAGATACACCCCAAGCAAAATTGATCATTTCTTCTTCTAGGTTCCTCCAGTAATTTTTCTTTTGGTTTTGAGACCGAGTCTTGCCCTGTTGCCCAGGCTGGAGTGCAGTGTGATCTCGGCTCACTGCAACCTCCACCTCCCTGATTCAAGCAATTGCCCTGCCTCAGCCTCCCTGATTCAAGCAATTGCCCTGCCTCAGCCTCCTGCGTAGCTGGGATTACAGGAGCCCACCACCATGCCCAGCTAATTTTTGTATTTTTAGTAGAGATGGGGTTTCATCATGTTGGCCAGGCTGGTCTCGAATCCCTGACCTCAGGTGATCCACCAGCCTCAGCCTCCTAAGGTGCTGGAATTACAGCATGAGCCACCACACCCGGTCCCTCCAGTAATTAAGTACAGTCTTAGTGAGATGGCAAGGTTGGAATCCTGGCTACACCATTTACTGGCTGTTTGACCTTCAATAAATCAAGCACTCTAAGCCTCTGTTTCATCTATGAAAGGGGAGTGATAATTCCTACCTCAGAGAATTGTTGTGAAGTTTGAGTGTGATAATGTGTCTCTAGTGCACTGCTTGACACTAAACATTGCAACATGTTAGGCCTGTGTTCCTGGAGTTCCTTGAAGGAATGTCTTACTCATTCTAAATATCCTTGTAGACAGCCTGGCACAGGTGTGGCTGTCAAGTTGTAGAATTGAATTAGTTGCTTCACTATATCAGCACCCACCCCTTCCAGACTTCTCACTTTTCAAGGAAATGTTGCACAGGATTTGTTCTGGGTAGGGCAATATCTAGTACCTTACTTCCCTCACGTTCATTCATCTCACAGATATTTCCTGAGCACATTCTACATTTGCCTCTCCTGCTCTATTGAGTTTAGAAGTCCAACCATCTCCTTCCTCTTTCCCTCTGAATAGTGAGCCTCTTCTTTTTTGGCCAGGTACTGAGCAAGTTTTTGTTTGTTTGTTTGAGACAGGGTCTCCATAGGTTGCCCTGGATGGAGTGTAGTGGCTCGATTTCAGCTCAGTGCAACCTCTGCCTCTCGGACTCAAGTAATCCTCCCACCTCAGCCTCCAGAAGAGCTGGGACTATAGGCGCAGATCACCACACCTGGCTAATTTCTGTATTTTTTGTAGAGACAGGGTCTTGCTGTGTTGTGCAGGTTGGTCTCAAACTCCTAAACTCAAAGGATCCTCCTGCCTTGGCTTCTCAAAGTGCTGGGATTACAGGGTGAGGCACTGCGCCCAGTCTGCTTTTCTTCTTTTTTTTTTTTGAGACGCGGTATCTGTCACCCAGGCTGGAGTGCAGTGGCACAATCTCGGCTCACTGCAACCTCCGCCTCCTGGGTTCAAGCAATTCTCCTGCCTCAGCCTCCCAAGTAGCTGGGACTACAGGCCCCCGTCACCACGCCCAGTTAATTTTTTCTATTTTCAGTAGAGATGGGGTTTCACTGTGTTAGCCAGTATGGTCTGGACCTCCTGATTTCGTGATCTGCCGGCCTCGGCCTCCCAAAGTGCTGGGATTACAGGTTTGAGCCACCGTGCCCGGCCTTTTTTTTTTTTGAGACAGAGTTTCGCTCTTATTGCCCAGGCTGGAGTGCAATGGCATGATCTCGGCTCACTGTAACCTCTGCCTCCAGGTTCAAGCGATTCTCCTACTCAGCCTTCTGAGTAGCTAGGATTACAGGCATGTGCCACCAGGCCCGGCTAATTTTGTATTTTTAGTAGAGATGGGGTTTCTCCATGTTGGTCTGGCTGGTCTCGAACTCCCAACCTCAGGTGATCTGTCCGCCTTGGCCTCCCAAAGTGCTGGCATTACAGGCGTGAGTCACCGCACCTGGCCTTTTCTTCTTCTTCTTCTTCCAGACAGAGTCTTGCTCTGTTGCCCAGGCTGGAGTGCAGTGGCGAGATCTGGGCTCACTGCAAGCTCCGCCTCCCGGGTTCATGCCATTCTCCTGCCTCAGCCTCAGGACTAGCTGGAACTAAAGGCGCCTGCCACCACGTCCGGCTAATTTTTGTATTTTTAGTAGAGACGGGGTTTCACCGCATTAGCCAGGATGGTCTCCATCTCCTGACTTCATGATCTGCCCTCCTCAGCCTCCCAAAGTGCTGGGATTACAGGTGTGAGCCACCACGCCCAGCCTTTTTTTTTTTTTTTTTTTTGCGACAGAGTTTTTTTCTTGTTGCCCAGGCTGGGGTGCAGTGGCACAATCTTGGCTCACTGCAACCTCTGCCTCCCAGGTTCAAGCGATTCTCCGGCCTCAGCCTCCCGAGTAGCTAGAATTACAGGTTCCCGCCGCCATGCCCAGTTAATTTTTATGTTCTTAGTAGAGATGGGGTTTCACCATGTTGGCCAGGCTAGTCTCAAACTCCTGACCTTGTGATCCACTCTCCTCGGCCTCCCAAAGTGCTGGGATTACAGGCATGTGCCACCGCGCCCAGCCTCAAGACAATATTTTCTATTTAAGCTTCCTTCTAAATGTTTGAGATTTTAAAATTTTTCTT